TTATTATTACGCCAGCGCCAGACTCGCGAAAGGTCTTGGATAAAAATAATTTTGATGGCATTTATTTTTGTCTATGACTAAATCACAATCACAGCTGAAATCGCAGTCTATGAAAGCAATCATCACATCATATGACTATAATTTAATAATAGCAAAAATTTCCATGTCCAATTCAATGTTTAAGTACAAACAATATACATCCAACATAGATGTATATTGTTTGTTTTTGTGCGTGAAACGAAACGCACGCTATCCCCGTTTTACTAACTATTAAGGTAAGCAGTACGACTTAAAACTACATATCCACCGACTAAAATAAATTATAAAATAAATTCATCCGAGATTTACAATGAAATTTCATTTCGGCACTAAAACAATTGTTTTTTTTTGTATAATTTAATTATCAAAAGTTAATCTAATAATTTTAATAAGATTTATTAATATCATTCACTAAATCCATTTGTCTATACGATAGACTTAAAGAGGACCGTCATGTATGGGCGCCAAACCGAAAGTGACAGTATTAAGCAATTAATAATAGTTTCAAAAACTAACCACAACGGCGCTAGGTTAGCCAAAGGTTATGTCATGAACTTAATAGTACTTTTATTTAATAGTGTACATATATAGCTGTAATATTTATATGATAGTTAATGCCTCTTGCTAGAGACCATGATTCTGGCCATGGTCTTAAGTGAGTGTCTTTTAGTAAGAATGTGAAGGAAAGGGACCGGGAGAGGACCAGTATTCTCCCGTCTCGAAGAATTGGCACCAGGCGCCGGAGATCGCAATATGATCACAGGCCTCCATGAGCGGTGGCCTGGGGGTAACTGTAAGGCTGGGCAACCCTTTCAGAATCAGGCCTGAAACAGCGGCGCGAAGTGTTCTGCGCGTTCTAAACCAGGAATTGAGCCTGGGCCTGCACTCAATGGTGTGGCTGCCTATGGCGACCAAAGTCTGCCAGGGATTTTTGGGGACTTCCTAGGGTAAACCTGAACCCCTTACAATAGACTCACATGTGATAGAAAGCCGTGTGGTTTTAGTCGGTTCGCTTTCGATATATTACTTCAGTGAACCCCAGTGAGGGGCACCGTGGGGTTGCCACACAAAAAATTTGATAATACAGAACTAAAATTATGGTTGACAACATATGGGTGTTTAATAAATGGAGGCGTTATTAAAATTTCGTAATGTACCTGTTATTACACGCTTTATTAAACTCAAATAGATTTTGTAACCAATTCATTTCATATAATTATTTCTATTGAACGGGTTTGAGTGATCATTATATATAATCTCCGTATTTATTTATTATTTACTGAGCATTCCTGAAAACATATTGCAAAAGGTGGACTTAATGCCTCAGGCATTTTCTTCCAGTCAAACCTTTGGGTGTTGCAAAGCTGTGTGTGGCAGGTGTATTTTTCGGACAGTTAACGATGAGACTGAATTAAAAAAAAGCTATTTCGAGCAGGCGCTTGCACTGACCACTCACAGATCACAGGGTAGTGTAGTGTAGTGCTATTCTCTAAGTTAGTTTAAAATTGGACTCTGCGGCAGCACGCATGGCTGTTTCCTTAAAAAATAGCACTGCTGGTCGAAACGTCAGGCAATCCAAAGATATTAATCGCGTTAATTCCGGTTCATTAGTAACAAATATATATTTTTCACATGTTAAGTCAAATAAAAACAATTTTTATAATACAATACAGCAAACGATTCTAAACTTAGTAAACGCAATAATATATACAGAATTTCAATAACCATAAAACAAAAAGATTAATTTAATATTACGATAACGCCAATGCAACAACAAAGAAACAAGTCACCAAAAAAACGTGCAGCAGTTCTATTCTCTAAGGAAACAGCCTTGCGTACAGCGCTGTCACAGCGTCGAATTCCAAATTAGTTCGTTTGAAATTCGACGCTACATCGCTGTCACAGCGTCGAATTTCAAATTAGTTCATTTGAAATTCGACGCTACAGCGCTGTCACAGCGTCGAATTTCAAACTAAGTTAGTTTGAAGTTCGACGCTGTGGCAGCGCTGTACGCAAGGCTGTTTCCGTAGAGAATATCACTGCTGATAATGTATAACATCTGACATCTCACCATCTGACGGACAACTCTAACGGTCGCTGTACACATTAGTCTAAGGTGCTGGGTCAATAAATCGGATTTTATTTACACATCACTAATCATTCCGCATTGGCGCATTGATAAAGAGTAATATGATATCTTGTAGCCTCACACAGACACGCAGGAACGCAGACAACACAAGGCAGCCTTGTGCTGACGCCAACTAGCAACATACCGCCAAGTGGATCTCTACACGTTGCCTCAATATGCTGGCCCAATGTGTACAGCGGTCTTAACACCCGCGCGCTCATTGATCAAATCAAATAGCGCGCTTCCTCGTCTTCCTGTTACATACTTCCGTCCCTTTTCACATAATCCCTGCCACTTAATGCAGGAAAGTGAGAGGACAGAAGTTCCACATCTAACATTTATTTCACAACAGTTTTCACATATGTTATGAACACTTTTATTATTATTTATTTTTTATTTGACGGTTATGTGTGACGGTAGTGGTTTCTGTAACGGACTGCCACACGGACACCATATATGTAATTCCAACTCTATTATATTATTGATGAAAGTTTTATCGATTCAATGTTACCAATTAAAAAATTGATACCACTTTTTTTAAACACAGCTCTTTTCCTTACTTTTTCCCTACCTTCAAAGGAGGTCTATTATTATTAATAATTTAATGAATTACTATAATATAAGACATTTTACTAACTTACACATGTATCTGGTGTTTCAATTTCACAAATTCACATCCTCACAGTCTTATGTCTAGAGATACATCACTTTCATATCGAAATTCGACAAATTTGAGAGCACAACACTACTTAGATAAACATGTAAATCTAGCTATCCTTGCATTGGCTTCGTTTACAAATTAGGTATATTTTTTGCACGGAACCCAAATTCTTTCCGTATACTTAAAAATCGTCTCAGTTACTCCTTTTAACATTAGCTTTGACATTGATAGTCTCGTGAAAATCGGTTCAACCATTTTGAAGATTAGCCCAAACCAATAAGCAGACTGAAAAAAATTGCATTCTTATTATATAACTCACAAATTTACGAATAACTGATATTTTAACAAACAAATGACACAGATTTTTTTTCATTGTATAAATAAGCTTTTTAATATTTAAAACTCGTAAAACCTTCGTTACTATACTGAGAAATGAGGATTAACTGCAAACAATAATCAATGCATGACAACAATTACAACAGTCGACATGAGTTAAGCCTTCGATCCTGTTGATCGTCAGATAATTCTTTAATATTGAGTTGTATACACCAGAATGATTAAATAGGCAAGAGTTTTAATAAAAATAAACATAAAAAATAAACAAAATCAAAACGTTTTCAGGAAGCTTTAAATAGATATTCTTGAACTACTATTTTGGTGTGCCACAGGGATGTATCTTAAGACTAGCTTCATTCATAATGTAAAAATAAATTGATTTGTCAACTCCTATAATTGCCATCGTCATATAATAGCACTAATAAATTCTTAAATGGAATTAAATTGCTGCATCTCTAACAAAGACCAATTCAGGAGGAGAAGATTTAAAACCTGCGTGTATGTTGTTTACAAAAATGTTGATCGAAGTTTTATTCATCAGTAGCAGAACTTTCACCTCGCAAAAAGGTTCATTTTTAAAAAGGTCACTTATTCAGAAAGATAGCGATATTGACAGTTAAAAATAAAATATTGTATTACATTGGTAAAGTTTTTGCAAAGGAATTATTCTAAAAAATATTATTTTTTATTAAACAAAAGCCAAAAGAAAATGACGTTCAGAGAAATTGACAATCAATATCTGACTTGCCTGAAAGCTATCCGGTAGCGATACCTCCCCTCCCTCTCGATTTGGTTACTAAATCCCCCCACGATCCTTTCTCCTACTATACAACAATAAACAATCAATATTTTGTACATAAAAAATATCTAAAACACACATCTACAAAGACATCAATTCATAAGCACATTATCATACTTCGTTATAAATATTACGATCCGCAAATAGTGGACAGTTACTGAATATAAATTGGTTAAAATCGTTTTTTAATTTTAATTACATATTAAATGCATAAATCAGGACTTATTGGCGATAATAATATATTTATATATTACAATACCTTTTTCATTAGACAACATTTCGACGCAATTGCACCGGTCGTGGTCACTAGTGGTCTGGTGAGAGCTTAACGAAGCTCCTTGAGGTGCGAATTTATGCAACTACCCGCACGTGGTCTTCATTTTTTTAATATTGATACTTTAGACTTAAAAAGTCCGTTTAGTGCTGTCGAAGAGCACATATTCGCTGAGCTGACGATAGCATTTGCTTTGCATTTGATAGTGTCAGCGGCTGTGGGCACCTGCAACTTAGAGATACAAGTGCCTCCCCCCCTCCCTAGCATTGGGGGTTTAGACTTTCGACGGCCTCACGCACTCGGTGAAATGCAGTGAAAGAATTGCTTGACAGCGGTTTTTCATAATTTTTGCGTTTATTCATTATTTACGAGGGCAGATGGAGATACATCTACCTGAAAAACTAGACAATGGACGGTTGACTGATCAGTCAGTCTATAACAACGACCAGTGTAAAATGGTCGAAACATCTGGAAGTATATTCAATTATGTAAATTGTAAATCATTGGTGATCAAACTCTGATGTGTTTAAGTTATTAATGTATGGCATATTTCGTTTTATATTTAGTTTTGAACTAATGAACAATAAAAAGAGCATTCAGGATGTAGCAGGTACAGGCCAACCTGAACTAAAGGTAATGAGATTACAATAATGGGACACTGTTATTCTGTCGATAGTAGTTGAATATTGTCGAAAGGTGACACATTTCGGTCGAACTTATCTAGTAGTTATTTTATACCTTATATACGTTTATTGTACTTTTATTAGTCTATAGGTTCATAATCCATGTTGCCGCAGTACTCCGCCAGGAAATCTAAGAATAAAGTGAATTTCCCTGTCGAAGATCTTGACCAGCGTGCAGATACTGTCTTCATACATGTCGAAAGGCTTTCTAGAACGTTCTGTAGAAAAAAAAAAACAATTATTGGCTACTCAACTCTCAAACGAAATCAGGGATTCTTTAGGATCTCTTCTTCCTGTGCATATAAGGATAGAAGCCTGCCTACCCTGATTGCAAAAAGCGGACATATAGTTTCTCGGAAATTGAAAAATTGGAAAAATTATTTATGATGATAACTTTTATAAGAAAAGCTTTACGAGGTGTGAATTTTTGTAATAGTTTTAATTTCAGAAGGTCAATTTTCTCGGAATAAAAATTCTGGCAAAATTCAGTTCCGATCAACTCCCGATCTCACAACTGTTATAAATGGTATTTTCGTAGTAAAATAGTAGAGTATTATAACTCCCGAATGTATCATATGTCGCGCGGGACTTTGCAAACATACAACAACAATTTGTGAATCACACAAAGTGTCGTCCCATGTGGGGATCGAACCCACAATACTCAACGTAGTAGTAAGCTGCGTGGCGACCGCTTAAACCACTACGCCATCCGTACAGTCAAGTCAAGTAAGACTCGCTAATTTCGGATTTAATTTTTGATCAAAATACAATACAATCACATTACAGTCAACGTTGGATGAGGATGGAGATTAGAATATCTTTTATGATATTGTCACGAGCGGGGTATATAATAAATAAAAGTTGTCGGTTAATTGCTATATTACACTGTATTTACAAACACTCACTATAATAAACTAGAAATCACTATATATCTTGTTAGTCGAACTAGAAATTCACTCCGATGTTAATTCGCTGTGTCGTAAAACGATACTGTCTCGAATGGCCAACACGCTCCGCTTTTATAGCGCTTTTGAATTTTACTAGAAAGATCCCTAGTATTCGATAGTCCGTTCCGAACAAACAAGAATATTCCAGAATCAGTCACTCGTTACTTGCAGCGCTATCTAGCGCTGTAAGGATCAGAACTACTCGTATTAAATATACAGGATGTACTTTTGTCGATACTAGATGGCGCTGTCCTCCACATTCCATACAATCGAAACATTTCATCCTATGGCGCAACAATATTTATGAGATCAGGAGTAGATGTAGATCGGAACTGAATTTTGATCGAATTTTTATTACGAGAATTGGCCGTCCGGTGTAAAACTGTATATTTCAATATACGACAAAATAGCTTTCTACACTTTGAAGTGTTTATACATACCTGAGCCCAATCTTGTCTATACACTGCCAGACACTGTTCCGTTAACGAATCCTCGCTCAAATAGTCGTTCTGGAGAAGGAAGACCAGCACCGTGGCCATGGCTTCCCACACTCCTGGTGTCTTGGAACTGCTGAGGAGCATGATGTTGCGAGGGCATAGGATTCGGTCGAAGAACTCCAAGCATATGTTGTCGTCGGTCTCTATAGTTGGTTGGTTAGCTGGTTTGGAGACCTGAGGATGAGAAAGAATATAATATGTTACGTTAACAATATAAATAATGAGATTTTGTCTTGGGTTGCTCGAAATATCTCTCTATCTCCTCTACTTAAAGATAAAGTTACAAAAAAATAATAGTCCGTATATAGTAGTGATAGGCGCGTCACTATTTTCTTAACGCGAACGGACTATAGTATAAACATATATATTCAGCGTCCTCTAGCTTATAATGGGTTTCTAAAACACAAATTTTCTTCAATAAAAGCTAGGGACCCTTCAATAATTTTACACTCAGGTGATATGATGCGACAGATAGACAAACGGTTAAACTTTTAGCAATTTTATTTTTTTGCCTCGGCGGGTAAAAACCTATTTTAGAACTCTTTTAAATAATAATATTAAAGTTAGAAAGGAGAAAGAAACAAAATTGGTTGATTAGCGAAAGAGAAAAAAGACCAGAACTGTTTTGTGGGTACTTATTTGTTAATAAGTAACGGTACATACCTTGGAGTATGGAGTACTCTGATTAAAAAATTTCGGTGACCTTGGGGGATGATAAGAGTTCGGTGACCTTGGCGGCTGAAAAGATATCGGTGACCTTGGTGGCTGACAAGAGACCGGTGACCTTGGTGGCTGACAAGAAATCGGTGACCTTGGTGGCTGATAAGAGATCGGTGACCTTGGTGGCTGACAAGAGATCGGTGACCTTGGTGGGTGACAAGAGACCGGTGACCTTGGTGGGTGACAAGAGACCGGTGATCTCGGTGATTGATAAGGGACCGGTGAGCTTGGCCTCTGATTGAACATGCTTGGTGACCTTGACCTCTGGTTGACGGTGTTCGGTGACCTGGGGCCTTGAGATAGAGAATTTGGCGATCTCGGCGCTGGTCCAAAGAAATGTTGCGTATTCGGTGATAAGGGTGCCTTCGGTGATCTTGGTGATTTATTCATAATTTTCAAGTCTTGAAGCTGCAATAAAATCAATATAATAAAATTTTGAAATTTTAAATATTTCTTTTTTAACGCCATCTAGCGTAGGACACCCGTTACTAAATAGTAACTATTAACCCTCTATCGCGTAATACAAGTTCTTGTATAATTAATAAATAAATTGTTGTGATAATTAATTTTACAGTTTTGAATATCGCCGAGAGTCACAGCCGTGAGTCATAGGTCATTTACTCTTTACCTTTAAGACCTTCGATGGCTCCTGTTCCTCATCACTGACAGGTGTGACAGCTCTATCATCGCTGTCAAAGTTCCTGTAGTCCGGTGATATATCCCTCCGCTCCGGGAGGAAGAGGTCTTGAGAGGGAGAACGCTTGCGATCTGGACAGCACACGTTCCACAGTGTGTGGAGTAAAGAGAGGAAGGCGTCTGTTACCTCTAATGGTTTGCGTGATACTGAAAATTAAATAAAAAAATTATAATAGTAACAACTTGACACAGTTTAACACGGCCGTCTGAACTCAAACTAGGTAGAGCCTGTATTATTGTTGCAGGTGTCTATAGGCAGCGGTACTCGTTTACCATCAGGTGACCCGTCTGCTATGTAGCTTGAAGAGGCCTAGGAAATAGTAGGCAGGAAGGTAGGTAGGATGGCATTCACAGCATACCTATTATATTTATCTCAATACGTTACACTCACCGTACACAACACACAAGTCCACAGAGAGCTGCAGCAGCGCCCTCTGCGTGGGGGCGCGGTTGAAGATGTTGATGGGGGAGCAGGCCAGCACACACATAGATATCGTGGACGTCAGGTCTCCAGGGTCTTCGCCGTCCAGCAGGAGACATGTTTTCTCCTGGGAATAAAGATCATCTGGTAGTGGGAGTTCGACCATAAACGAATAAAAATAAGGGGGACGATGAAGCATCTCTCTCGCTTTCCTGCAATCTGTGGGAAGGGACGAAAATGTGTAACAGGGGTCTGGTGTAAGTTTATTTCACATCAACTCGCACGTCATGGTTACTGCGTATAGCGTTGCGATGGGCACACACTGAACTCGGTCCTCAGGAAACCGAGGCAACGCACTATTCGATTTGTCCCGAGAGTACGCGGTTCTAGATATCAGATGTCATACATGGTACATACAATTTAACCAAATTATCCCGAATAGGGACAATAATTATAGTAGGCCAAAACCTCACCTAACACACAACGCCATCTAGTTTCAAACTATGCAGTACTATGAAAGCTAGATTGACTGATAGAATACTTATATGCTTTTTTTTGTAAATACATACATTTTACTACTCGATTTGTCCTATTCGATTTGTCCCGAGAGTACGCGGTTCTAGATATCAGATGTCATACATGGTACACACAATTTATCTAAATTATCCGGAATAAAGAAAATAATTATAGAAGGCCAAACCCTCCTTTCTAAGGAGAGGCCTATGACCAGAAGTGGCCTATTAAATGCTGTTGTTGATGATGAAAGACAATAATCCTCAATAAAAAAAAAAAACCCACAAACATTTTGTACCCGTCATGTCGCCGTATCGCAGAACTAAAATCTGTGAATTTATTGCATGGAAAGTTCTAGTAGGTTCGTATTTTTTTTTTCTAAAAACCTCTTAATCACCCGCGACTGATTCTCCATCCCTTTAGAAACTTATAAAACATTCTGGTATGTCATTTTTTATTATAGCACACATATTAATTCCACGACTCGATAACAGATGGCGCTATTTGGACTGCCCAACTATTGAAAGATTCCCTTGTATTTGAGAAATTATATTTTTTGTATCATTATAATTAGTTATTGCAATAAGTACATACCTTTAAATTAACCATGCAAATGGCAGGACTGACGTTGTTGGTTTCGAACACTTGGGCGAGTGACGTCATCGCGGTGACGTCACACGCGGCCTTGTGCGCGGTGCACGTGGCCAATGGGCCGAGAGCGAGGAACGTTTTCATTTCAGACTCTATGTCTTTGCACAGAACGGCTGTAGGGGGAGAAAATAATAAACATTATTTTTTTGCTAATATGGGGAGAATATAAAAGATGTAGACCATGTCTTTGACTCCACGAATAGCATAGCGGTTTAAGCGGTCTCCACGCCGCTTCCTACTGTGTTGTGGGTTCGATCCCCACATGGAACACCACTTTGTGTGATCCACAAATTGATGTTCCAAGTCTGGGTGTTCTTTGTGTCCGTTTCATTTATGTTTGTAAAGTCCTACGCGACACAGGATATATATTCCTAATGCGGGAGATGTCTTTAAAAAAAAAATGACTTTGTGGTGTGGTGTCACCACACCTTTTCATCCCGTGGGTGTCGTTAGAGCTGAGTAGGGGAGCTAAATTACACAGAACAACAGCGCTGCAAAGAGAAGGGAAACTTGACACAAACCCTATACCAACCCGTCTGGCCAGCGTAGTATAGTAGTAGTGTTCTTCTGCCACCTCTTATTCTTAATCGGTCACCACACAGATTCTGCTAATTCACAGATGACTGATATTATTTCCTATTAATTCGTAATTAATATTTAGGGTAACGTTTCGATATTATTTGGTGATTAAGATGGCAGATCTACAATTTCAGGAACAAATATATTTATTAGGTGATTGATAAAATTATATCCATTTCAAAATGGGTTTAATCCCAGTAGGAGTCGTGTAGGATACAAAAAGAAGGTTCATCATCGCGAACTCACCGGTGCTGTTCCAATTGTCATTGATCCACTTGGTGAGGCGGCTCATGGAGGCTTTCACCACCAGCGACACGAGGGGGAGCGGCGCTGACGCCAGCAGGGACGACACTGCGTTCTCCGCTCGACTCTAGTACAAGACAAAAGTTATTAGTAAAATTAATAAAATTAAATAATTATTAAAACAACATTTATATTTCTAAATATTATAAAAAATATATACCCAGACGGAACAAATGATCGTGCTCATCACACAATATTTGTCTCGGGTGGGAATCGAAGCCACGACGTGAGGCCCGTACAGCAGCAGTGACTAAGAGCACTGACCTGTATGTTGGCGCGAGCGGTGGCCAGCGCCACGCCGCGGAGCTGCTGGAGCTGGTCGCGGTACAGCTGCTGCAGCGACACCAGCAGCGCCGTCTGCAACAGAACCACCACACCTCACATACAGACATATGCACAATACTTACTTCAGCGCCATCTAGCGGTAAAATAGCAAAGACTAAACAGTTACCTATATTTTTTCTTTATTCTTGGTAGTTAATGACAATTACAAACAATAAAAAAAACCTCGTATTTCGACAGTTGGGTTACCATAAATAACAAAGTTAAAGAAATTTACTAATTATCTTAATAATATATATTCTTTTTATGATATAGGGGAGGTGGGGGGAGGGGGGGGGGGGCAACGAGCCGACAGGTCAACTGATGATAAGCGACTACCGCCGCCGATAGACGCCTGCAACTCAAGAGTTACCAGTACCACTACACCACCGAGGCAGTCTGTTGAAGTAATATCGTGGAAAGGGACGGACGTGAGTAACAGGAACTTATTTGACTTGACCAATGAGCGCGCGGTGCTAGAGTCGGTTGTCAAAGATATATGGAGGGGGGTCCAACTGTAATAGTGAGTGTCCATGAACACCCTAAGGGGTCTACGAGGGGGGGTTCAAGTAGAAAGAACTGATTGGATGTCAAAAGTTACACAAGTAAAGCTCATAACGTCAGTACCTGATCTCCGGAGTGTCCCTTGGTCCTGTTGAGGGCGTGTTCCCGAGCACTGTCTCGGGCCGCCACAAGGGCCCTGGCGCTGAGCTCCCGCACCACGGCCGAAGTCACGCGCTCTATCACCAGCTCCAACACTCGCCGGGTGGACGACGGCTGACTCTTCAGGAACTCTTCTTCCAGGCGTGCCTGGAAATATGATAATAGTGCTCTAGAACATATTAAATAACGCTATCTAGACAGAAAAAAAAATAGCTTGCATTGTGGGCTAATCGAATACAGATATACATATACAGAGCCCATTCGCCTAAAGAAAATAGTGACGTTTCGATCAAGCCCCGCCCAGGTTTCGGTAATCGTAATCCGTTTTCGCCCGGTTTATGCAGGATAAGATTTTTTGCGACCTTTTCAACAATAATCGTTATATTTCAGTCACACACTATCTATTGGTAAACTGTACAATAAATATTAAATAGCAAATTAGACAATTATAATAACTTCAAAATCTGTATTCATAGAGGTGATAATTTGCTTCTATTCAATCAAGTATATCGATAACTAATATATAATGTTGCTTAAGTAATACTTTATAACAGATGTAATAAAGAAAATACTTCCTTAATAATAATAATACCTTAAAAAATCTCACACACAGCGTCCTGATTCCAAACTGGGTAGAGCCTGTGCTATGGTAACCAGACTGCTGATAAACATACTTATATATATTTCTAAATACATACATATTATAGGTAAATTACACACAGACACAGAACAAACGATCGTGCCCATAAAACAATTATTTGCCCTGAGTGGGCATCGAAGCCACAACCTCCGGCTTAGCAGTCAGGTTCACTAACCACTAGACCAACAGGCCCGTCAATAAATTTATTTTACTCACCTGTAATTCTTTCTCTTTATTCTTGATCCGATCTTCGTTGTTTAAAGTCAAGCTAACCGGCGTGATATGCCTGTAGCTACCCATCTCTTTCTGCTCTTGGGATACTCTACATGTAGACAACAACACATTCAAGTCCTTCAAATGCGGACACAACTCGATTATAATCGATTCATCGACTAAATCACAACTATCAATACTCATATCTATCACAACATTATTGCTTAGTCGATTTTCATAAAATAGTTCTTGAGGAAAATGCGGTAAATCGAAAAGCCAGCCTAATATTGATTTTAAATAAATTACTGTGTTTTTTTTAAAGTATGAATCGGTAATTTTTAGTCGATTTGTGTATATATCGAATATGACTTTTAGTAGATTTTGGTAATATTTGATTCGTAGTGTGGTGTAATCTAACATTGACAAATAGTGGGCTATCCACGGCACGGTGATTGAGAGGCGGCCATTTTCAATGGCATTCTTTAACATTCCTTGTAAATCTATGCTGGGTTGACTCTGAAAATAGACAATTATTATTTATTGAAGTAGTCACTTAACATCGGATGACTCGTCCGTCCAAAAAGAATAGAAAAGGACAGGAATACGATGATCATGAACTATAGAAACTAGTCTAATTATCATCAAAGGAAATGAGGTTTTGGCCTACTATATCACGCTGGCCAGACAGGTTGGTACAGGATGTGTGTCAAGTTGGTCCAGAAGGCGATAACTACCTGGACCCCCCTAAAACAAAAGCGCAAAGAAGGCACACCGTGTGGTTTTAGTCGGTCCGAGTCCGACACACCACCCCGCCGCAAACCCCGGAGGGGTGACGGTCCGAGGGGATTTCCACACGTAAAAAAAAAGGGTGTGTTGTGTGCAAACAGAAGGAAGTTTTCCTTCTATTTGCAGTGCTGTTGTCCTGCGTTGTTTGCTCCCTTAGTTATATCGTAGTATTATATCTTGCGACACCCACGGGATGAATAGAGGTGGTGAAACTCTGTATTCTTAATCTGTCACCACATGGATAGAAACATAGAAACTATCCTATACTTACATAATTCCTCAAAGCCAGATCATTTTCATGAACCTTCTCCTTCGGGGCTGCATAACTCATGTCACTTTGTATAGTTTTGGTGATGGTTCGCTTATTAGTGCTGTGCTCTATGACCTGGGAGTATGGTAGTGACGTCAGGAACCCAAGAAACTTTGACAGGAGAGCCAGCTTCTTGGATAGGAGAAGATATTCCTTTGTGATGTCTATATTGGCTGAAACAACAGATTAATTTGAATAGAGTAACTATACATTTATGGATGGGCCTGTTGGTCTGGTGTAGTGACCCTGACTGATAAGCCGGAGGTCGTGGTTTCGATTCCCATCTAGGACAAATAATTGTGTGATGAGTATGATTATTTGTTCTGTGTTGGGGTGTAATTTTTCTATAATATGTATGTATTTACAAATATTGAAGTATAGGCTCTGCCTACTTTATTTTATTACCTACTACTAAAACCGTAAGAGTGAAGGTTCTAACCCCGTATAGTACACTATTGGACTTAACCCACTCTATGTCCCTCTCATATATATTTTTTATGGTATAAGCGGGCAAACGAGTAAACGGTTAGCAACTACCGCCGCCCATGGACACCTGGAGCGGCAGGGACTCCAAGTGAGTCGAGCCGGCCCATTCGTGCCGAAGCATGGCTCTCCCACGTAAAGACAGTTATGCAGTAAATAATACTAATAATGACTTGAAATACCTGACACACGGACATCTGATTCCAAACTAAGCATATTCTGTACAACGGTAGCCGGACTGCTGATAAACATATCTATGTATTGCTAAAATGATATTAATATTTATCATTGCAGTGTTTATGAGCGGTGGTAGTAACTTTCCATGAGGTGACCCATCTGTTGCACATTTATGTTTTGTGGAAATTAAAATAAATTAAAATTGTAGGTAATTAGTGTTTGTTTTATTCTTTCCTCACAGAAATGTTTTTAAAAGTAATTTTACTCTTAGAGCACAATAGAATTTTTCTCTTTTTATACACGTTCTCTTAAAAGGAAGGAAGTAAATAAGGAATGACAACTTGAAAAAAGTAGCTTAGGGTTGCCATAAATGAAATTTTAATTTTATTGTTTTCTCAATACCATCCCATACTCATATTTTACTATACATAACTATTTCATTAGTGTAGGAGTAGGTAGTATTTTTGGTTCTGGATATCTGAATAAAAGCTGTTTCTAGATTCTTCCTATTTGAAGCTTATTATAACACAGCGTGTCGGTACGATTCCGACACACCACCCCGACGCAAACCCCAGTAGGTGACGGCCCGGTTATTTTTTAAACAGACACCTTCCCGCATTAGGAATATATCCTGTGTCGCGAGGGACTTTACAAACATACATGACACGGACAAAAAGAACACCCAGACTCAGAACAACAATTTGTGGATCACCCAAAGTGTCGTCCTATGTTAGTATCGGACCCACAACACTCGGCGTAGTAGTAAGCGGCGTGGCGACTGCTTAAACCACTACGCCATGCGTGCAGTCATAACTATTTAATTAACTCACAATTCCCTCTGTCCTCCGGTGCCATGGGTGCAGCATCCAGTGCTGTTACTTCTGAAGCCAACGTGTCCCGGAGGTGTGATCTGAACGAATCTGATTCAGCATTGATTATGAATTCTCTGAGAATAAAATATATAAAATGTAATTAACAACCAGCTATTTTCCTGCTCCTTTCTAAGGAGAGGCCTATGTCCAGCAGTGGACTAGTATAGGCTGTTGATGTGATGATGTGAACCAGCTATTAGCCGCTAGGCTAATAGCTGGTTACTTTGAAAATGACGAACTTACAATCGTTCATCCCATTTTTTACCCCCTTAGGGGTAAAATTTTCAAAAAGCTTTTCTGTAGTAGGTGCTTACAACATAAAAAGCTAAAGTTTCAAGTTTTAAGCCCCAGCGGTCTATGCTCTGCTCTGCTCTGCTGTCAGTCAGGACTAGTAATTTATATTTATAGGTGTCTATTTATTGTTGCGCCATAGGATTAAATAGTTTGAATTGTTCCAGAATTGTTTGGAATGTGGAGGACAGCGCCATCTATTATCACGTAAAGTACAACTATTGAGATTGTGATTAATAATATCGATCCTTACAGCACTATATGGCGCTGCAAGTAACGCTTAACTGATACTGGAATATTCTTTTTGTCTGGAACGGACAATTGAATACTAGGGCTAATTCTAGTAAATTCGGTAGCGCTGTAAAAGCGGAGCGTGTTTGGCCGTACGACTAAGCTGCACAGCAATTAACATCGCAGTAACAATAACAGTAACAGTAAAAATATTAAAACGTAAAGCGATTTACACGCACCTATTTAGAACCGATTTCAAAGAAAGGTGGTTATCAATTCAGTTGTATTTTTTGTATATAACTCGTTAATAGAACATTAGTGCGATACACAAACCTGATACAGCGCCATCTATCGGATTCTATGCTCAGCTTTTGGTCGAATATAATATTTTTTTATTCATGAGTAAATAAGTTGGTGAACTAACTTGTAAAATATTTCGTTGGCAGTGAAGTGTGGCAGTCGATGGGATTCTGATGCGGTGGGGCAGGTTAAACGGCGTTGCAGCTTACTTAGCTTCGATTCTTGCTAGAGGTAAAAATTATAAGTATTATTAATTGATGACTAGAAAAATGAACAGTATTTGCAACTTATAACAAATGCGAAAGTATGAGGTGGGTAGACTACGCAGACAAGGCGTGTAAGGCGTGTGAGGTGGGCAGGCAGTGTTGCGCGAGGTGCGCGTGTATATGTACCGTCTCACCTGTGAGGTGGGCAGGCAGTGTTGCAGCATGTGTTGCGCGAGGTGCGCGTGTATATGTACCGTCTCACCTGTGAGGTGGGCAGGCAGTGTTGCAGCATGTGTTGCGCGAGGTGCGCGTGTATATGTACCGTCTCACCTGTGAGGTGGGCAGGCAGTGTTGCAGCATGTGTTGCGCGAGGTGCGCGTGTATATGTACCGTCTCACCTGTGAGGTGGGCAGGCAGTGTTGCAGCATGTGTTGCGCGAGGTGCGCGTGTATATGTACCGTCTCACCTGTGAGGTGGGCAGGCAGTGTTGCAGCATGTGTTGCGCGAGGTGCGCGTGTATATGTACCGTCTCACCTGTGAGGTGGGCAGGCAGTGTTGCAGCATGTGTTGCGCGAGGTGCGCGTGTATATGTACCGTCTCACCTGTGAGGTGGGCAGGCAGTGTTGCAGCATGTGTTGCGCGAGGTGCGCGTGTATATGTACCGTCTCACCTGTGAGGTGGGCAGGCAGTGTTGCAGCATGTGTTGCGCGAGGTGCGCGTGTATATGTACCGTCTCACCTGTGAGGTGGGCAGGCAGTGTTGCAGCATGTGTTGCGCGAGGTGCGCGTGTATATGTACCGTCTCACCTGTGAGGTGGGCAGGCAGTGTTGCAGCATGTGTTGCGCGAGGTGCGCGTGTATATGTACCGTCTCACCTGTGAGGTGGGCAGGCAGTGTTGCAGCATGTGTTGCGCGAGGTGCGCGTGTATATGTACCGTCTCACCTGTGAGGTGGGCAGGCAGTGTTGCAGCATGTGTTGCGCGAGGTGCGCGTGTATATGTACCGTCTCACCTGTGAGGTGGGCAGGCAGTGTTGCAGCATGTGTTGCGCGAGGTGCGCGTGTATATGTACCGTCTCACCTGTGAGGTGGGCAGGCAGTGTTGCAGCATGTGTTGCGCGAGGTGCGCGTGTATATGTACCGTCTCACCTGTGAGGTGGGCAGGCAGTGTTGCAGCATGTGTTGCGCGAGGTGCGCGTGTATATGTACCGTCTCACCTGTGAGGTGGGCAGGCAGTGTTGCAGCATGTGTTGCGCGAGGTGCGCGTGTATATGTACCGTCTCACCTGTGAGGTGGGCAGGCAGTGTTGCAGCATGTGTTGCGCGAGGTGCGCGTGTATATGTACCGTCTCACCTGTGAGGTGGGCAGGCAGTGTTGCAGCATGTGTTGCGCGAGGTGCGCGTGTATATGTACCGTCTCACCTGTGAGGTGGGCAGGCAGTGTTGCAGCATGTGTTGCGCGAGGTGCGCGTGTATATGTACCGTCTCACCTGTGAGGTGGGCAGGCAGTGTTGCAGCATGTGTTGCGCGAGGTGCGCGTGTATATGTACCGTCTCACCTGTGAGGTGGGCAGGCAGTGTTGCAGCATGTGTTGCGCGAGGTGCGCGTGTATATGTACCGTCTCACCTGTGAGGTGGGCAGGCAGTGTTGCAGCATGTGTTGCGCGAGGTGCGCGTGTATATGTACCGTCTCACCTGTGAGGTGGGCAGGCAGTGTTGCAGCATGTGTTGCGCGAGGTGCGCGTGTATATGTACCGTCTCACCTGTGAGGTGGGCAGGCAGTGTTGCAGCATGTGTTGCGCGAGGTGCGCGTGTATATGTACCGTCTCACCTGTGAGGTGGGCAGGCAGTGTTGCAGCATGTGTTGCGCGAGGTGCGCGTGTATATGTACCGTCTCACCTGTGAGGTGGGCAGGCAGTGTTGCAGCATGTGTTGCGCGAGGTGCGCGTGTATATGTACCGTCTCACCTGTGAGGTGGGCAGGCAGTGTTGCAGCATGTGTTGCGCGAGGTGCGCGTGTATATGTACCGTCTCACCTGTGAGGTGGGCAGGCAGTGTTGCAGCATGTGTTGCGCGAGGTGCGCGTGTATATGTACCGTCTCACCTGTGAGGTGGGCAGGCAGTGTTGCAGCATGTGTTGCGCGAGGTGCGCGTGTATATGTACCGTCTCACCTGTGAGGTGGGCAGGCAGTGTTGCAGCATGTGTTGCGCGAGGTGCGCGTGTATATGTACCGTCTCACCTGTGAGGTGGGCAGGCAGTGTTGCAGCATGTGTTGCGCGAGGTGCGCGTGTATATGTACCGTCTCACCTGTGAGGTGGGCAGGCAGTGTTGCAGCATGTGTTGCGCGAGGTGCGCGTGTATATGTACCGTCTCACCTGTGAGGTGGGCAGGCAGTGTTGCAGCATGTGTTGCGCGAGGTGCGCGTGTATATGTACCGTCTCACCTGTGAGGTGGGCAGGCAGTGTTGCAGCATGTGTTGCGCGAGGTGCGCGTGTATATGTACCGTCTCACCTGTGAGGTGGGCAGGCAGTGTTGCAGCATGTGTTGCGCGAGGTGCGCGTGTATATGTACCGTCTCACCTGTGAGGTGGGCAGGCAGTGTTGCAGCATGTGTTGCGCGAGGTGCGCGTGTATATGTACCGTCTCACCTGTGAGGTGGGCAGGCAGTGTTGCAGCATGTGTTGCGCGAGGTGCGCGTGTATATGTACCGTCTCACCTGTGAGGTGGGCAGGCAGTGTTGCAGCATGTGTTGCGCGAGGTGCGCGTGTATATGTACCGTCTCACCTGTGAGGTGGGCAGGCAGTGTTGCAGCATGTGTTGCGCGAGGTGCGCGTGTATATGTACCGTCTCACCTGTGAGGTGGGCAGGCAGTGTTGCAGCATGTGTTGCGCGAGGTGCGCGTGTATATGTACCGTCTCACCTGTGAGGTGGGCAGGCAGTGTTGCAGCATGTGTTGCGCGAGGTGCGCGTGTATATGTACCGTCTCACCTGTGAGGTGGGCAGGCAGTGTTGCAGCATGTGTTGCGCGAGGTGCGCGTGTATATGTACCGTCTCACCTGTGAGGTGGGCAGGCAGTGTTGCAGCATGTGTTGCGCGAGGTGCGCGTGTATATGTACCGTCTCACCTGTGAGGTGGGCAGGCAGTGTTGCAGCATGTGTTGCGCGAGGTGCGCGTGTATATGTACCGTCTCACCTGTGAGGTGGGCAGGCAGTGTTGCAGCATGTGTTGCGCGAGGTGCGCGTGTATATGTACCGTCTCACCTGTGAGGTGGGCAGGCAGTGTTGCAGCATGTGTTGCGCGAGGTGCGCGTGTATATGTACCGTCTCACCTGTGAGGTGGGCAGGCAGTGTTGCAGCATGTGTTGCGCGAGGTGCGCGTGTATATGTACCGTCTCACCTGTGAGGTGGGCAGGCAGTGTTGCAGCATGTGTTGCGCGAGGTGCGCGTGTATATGTACCGTCTCACCTGTGAGGTGGGCAGGCAGTGTTGCAGCATGTGTTGCGCGAGGTGCGCGTGTATATGTACCGTCTCACCTGTGAGGTGGGCAGGCAGTGTTGCAGCATGTGTTGCGCGAGGTGCGCGTGTATATGTACCGTCTCACCTGTGAGGTGGGCAGGCAGTGTTGCAGCATGTGTTGCGCGAGGTGCGCGTGTATATGTACCGTCTCACCTGTGAGGTGGGCAGGCAGTGTTGCAGCATGTGTTGCGCGAGGTGCGCGTGTATATGTACCGTCTCACCTGTGAGGTGGGCAGGCAGTGTTGCAGCATGTGTTGCGCGAGGTGCGCGTGTATATGTACCGTCTCACCTGTGAGGTGGGCAGGCAGTGTTGCAGCATGTGTTGCGCGAGGTGCGCGTGTATATGTACCGTCTCACCTGTGAGGTGGGCAGGCAGTGTTGCAGCATGTGTTGCGCGAGGTGCGCGTGTATATGTACCGTCTCACCTGTGAGGTGGGCAGGCAGTGTTGCAGCATGTGTTGCACGAGCAGCGCGGCGAGGTGCGCGTGGTTGGCGGGCGCGGCGCCACCGGCCACCAGCGCCTTGGCTCGCGCGCGCAGCGACGACACGGACCCGCCCGAGCGACACGTGTCCACGTACCATCTGTTGGAGGCTTCACTTTACAGAAACTCACACTAAGGGGCCGTATCCACGAGCGAGAGAATCGCAGCGACATTAACGTCGTGCGTGTATTTCTATACACTGTCAGAACACACGGCGATCCCGCCGCGCACTCGCCTCAGTTCTGTGTTGCCTGTCTGCCAAGCAATGACTTAACGTATTGACAAGTTTATTTAAAAAAAAAACTATGTTTGACAATGAAAAGTTCATGTGTAGGTACTTCAAGTGAGACAAGACCTGCATTTTACGATGTGCAGTTGACAGAGTACTTGACGTTTATTATTGCTCTCGTCTGGTACCTAACTGAACTTTTTCAACAAAACTATTGCACGCCTCGTAGCACAAACGTGGCGATTTCGTTACTAATCGGCGAAATAATCGCTCGTTTACAGAGATTACCCGACGATAGAAACGCGGAATCGTCGAGATTCACTCGCTCGTGGCGACGGTCCCTAAGAGAACACTCAAATAATAAAATACTTCAATTTGCACTTAAATACTCACTTAGTTGACTCATAAGTTTAGTTATGTCCTTCTTTATTTAATTTAAATTTGGAACAATAGCTAAAAATGGCTGTGTTTAACGGTTATATTTAAGGAACTTATTTTTTTCATGGTATAAGGATCAAACAAGCACACGGCTCACATGATAGTGACACCAGAATCAGTGGGAGGGAAGTTTGGGCTCCGGTAACCTCAGTCACTGGTGCTGACTGAAGTCCTGAAGAGGATGCCTGAAACGGCCGCCCGCGTAATCCTGGAATGCGAGGTACAAAATCGTTCCTAGAAGCCTGTGAACGTCACCGGAGGCTTCTGCGCTTCTGGAAGGAGCTTGGTTGGCTCACCTAGCCAACCTCTCCTAGACGCATAAACGACCACTCCCGAGTCTAATTGCGTTAAACGGAGCCTACAACCAATACGAATACCAACCTCACTGACTTGGTAAAACGAAACCAAAAAGTTACTAAACACCAGTTTTCTGTGAGGCCCTGGTATCACGGCTCCCACGTTTAGGTTGTAAGAAAACTTACCTTTGAATCTCATAAAACATATCCCTTTGCTTTTTAAAATTTTGAAAGCTGAGCATTGATGGGAAATTCTCCGCATTATCTGTCTCCAGGTTGAAACATATGACTCCATTTGATTGTTGATGCTCCGCAGGTCTAGATCTGTCTTGGGTGTTTTCCGCTTCACATCTAAGGCCATAACAGTTTAGAAGGAACTTGGCCAGTGCTGGATAGAAGGAACGGACTTTCTTGTTTTCCCCTGTGACATGAAAAGTATATAAATAATTTAATGTATTATTTTATATAATAATGCCCGATGTTCTGTAGAGTGAATAGTAGAGGGAGGCAGACAAGTGCGTTGCCGCGCTTCGAGCCCTCCCTTCCCCAGAATTAGGAAGGGGAGGGTTTTGGGCTCCGATAACCTCATTAACAAGTCAAGCTGACTACTTGCGACTCTAGAGTTATAGGTGTGTATTGGTAGCGATGATCACTTCACTGTCAGATGACCCATCTGCTCTTTTGCACCTTTTGGCATTCCTCCTCCCTCCGGCTCGGGCGGGGTCGGCTTTAAGTCTACTACGATACGGCTGACCTTTACTACTTTATAACAATCGGGACCGACAAAATAGTTATCCACCTATAGAATGACCTGGACAGGATTCCTTAACTTTAACTACTCCATCAATGAAGTACTTAGCCACAAGCCCTCAGTTCCTTTTTTAGGGTTCCAACTACCCGAAACAATTGCCACAGATGTTTGTATTGCCCCTTGTATTTCCTCATAAAAATTGTAATTAATATAAAACATGAGTGCTTACCTAAAGTTTTTAAAGAAGTCTTATCCAGGGTAACTTCTAGAATCATCCTTTGATGCCATAGTGATTTGACAGCAAAATATGTGCTATTGTGTATAGTCTTCAATAAAAATCCCATTTCACCCTCGTTTAGTTTACTTTCCACTGCTATATAATCACTTTCATACTGCTTGGATATTAAAATGGATATCAAGAAATAAATTTCCGTATTAACACTCATTATTAAGTTATTCTTTAATAAAATTTCATAAATATCAACTAGTAAATCAATTTTCTCCTTAAAAACGACTTTAGAGGTATCGCTTTTTATAAAACTCTGATTCTTCTCCATTGAATTCTTTTGGGCTATTTTAATTTGAGGCGACATTAAAGGCTTTTGAGGTAAAGATGTATTTAAAATGTTGAATTTTTCCATTAACTTGTGCCTCTCTTGTTTTAAAATGTTTCTTTCAACTTCAAAGCTACTTGATTCCTTCAATTGAATCTTTTGTTGTTTAAACGCTGAATTCTCTTCTAAAAGTAAAGGTGATGTGTGTATTGATTCAGCACTAAAACTGTTCAATGATAAACTTTTCTGAGATTTATCAATATTTGTTGGTTTAATTCTTCGTTTCTCTGACCGCAAAGAACTGGATTTTCTTGCACCAATCTCAGGAAACATATCCGAATTTGATAAATCTAATTCCAATTTGCTGTCATCATTGTCTGACGAAATTCTTTTATCTCTTTTCTTTTTGGAGCTCTTCTGAACATTAACCATATAGTCACCGAGACAGTTCTTCTCCTGAGTCCTGGAGAGTCTATGACTTAATCTTGGTGTATCACATCTTTCATGGTGCTCTTTAACAAAACTTTTTGGAGTAACTGGACTACTTAAAGGTAAATTTGGATATTCAGATGCTTTTAAACCATTTTTTAAAGGTGTACTGGACACTGCCATCCTGTCTACATTAAGGCTAATTCTTGATTCATCTGAGGATATTGATTGGTTTAATTTCTCTTCAGCAAAGAGCTTTGTTTTGACTCTTCTACCGGTCCTTTTACGGTCTTTACTTGGTGATTCGTGTGAACGCTGACGATCTGTCTTGACAGAAAGAGTGTCCATGGTGGTGTGGTGGTCTTCGCTTGTTGGGTCGGAGACTGATCTGTGGTGCTGCCGACGATTGCTGAGAAGTTTCTCAGGAGTACTGTGCTGGAGGATTTGGACGGCATTGCTATTGGTTTGTAGTATACTGAAATAGATTACATGAAATTAACAAAATGTAAGTTTCGATTTTTTTAACCTAGTAAGCAAATACGATCTAGGTGTGCTTCAGTGATTCTCTCGCTCGAGAGCCTGATTGCGGCTATCGTGCGGAGCGAGAGTGCGTGGAACTCTGCCGTCTCCTTCTGCGAGCAAGTTATGCTCGCGAAGGAGACGGCGGAGCGGGACCGGGAGAGGTTTAGAACTCTCAGACGACTCAGGCGCCGGAGGTCGCAGAATGACCTCCGTCCTCCATAAGCGCAGGCCTGGGGGTGACAGGTGAGGCCATCTGTCACCCTAGCAGAAGCAGGCCGGGGTGGCGGCGGGCGCGTTGCGAAGCGCGCTCGCTTCCGGGGAGCAGAGGGAACATGGGGTTCCCACACGGGGGGGTCGTCTACTCGTCTGTAGATGGCCCGAGGTATGTCGTGGCACCAGGGACTTCCTTTCTAGGGTATACCTGGTTCTCCGGCTATTACTACCCGAGACGGCGTGCGGTTTTAGTCAGTTCGAGTCCGACATGCCACCGATAGGTGGTATCCGAGGGGATTTACGCACGGAAAAAAAAAAAAAAGGTGTGCTTCACTGAATTAAAAGAGTGACGAGGTGTGTTCGTTTTGATTTCTTTTTACAAAGCTCGACCATTGGGAAGTGGTAGGTTACAGATTGGCACAGGCATTACACTATTACATAGACATTAATATTATATTTGTTTTCTAATATTTTCTTGCTACATTAAATTTGCAACGCTACGCAACACTGTACGCGCTACGTATAATAACATGCAGTCACCGCAATAGCGGTGTATGCGTGTTTTTGTTTTTTTTTTCAAGGCAGTAGACAATGAAATAATTGGACACTGACACAAATTAAATTACTTTAATAATAAAAATAATATTATAAATGCTAAAGTTGTTTGTTACTCAACCATGCAAAAACAGCTTCTGGATGAAGTTTCAACCAGTAATTCTGGATATGTATAGCAGCTAGGGTACTTTTCATTAAAAAATGTTTTTTTTATTTATTCTTTCGGAGAAGTAGTGTTAGTTCAAGCGTCAAAGGAAGTTGGATGTGCAAAATGTGAGGACCGCATCCTGTACATAGTGTTAAACACAGAAAAGATTGAAAAATGTTCCCAGGAGGTTTGTTGGTCTATTTTTTAAACCCCAACCCCTTCAATACATAGTGTTAAACACAGAAAAGATTGAAAAATGTTCCCAGGAGGTTTGTTGGTCTATTTTTTATACCCCAACCCCTTCAATATTGAGTAAATGGACTGAACAAATATTTTGCCACAATTTTATTCATTGTTTTATTGACAATATCCAATTGTCTCTTATGATTAAAGATATTTATAACTTATCAATTAAAAAAAAAAACAAAAAAGTAAAGAATAAAACAAGAATTGTTGATTGACAAATATTTATATTTTACAATTTAATATTTTTATTTTCAATAAGTATAAGTGTGAAACAATTATTTAACAAATTTTGTGTTAATATTAACTGAAACAGTATCGATATTTAAGGCATTCGAGATTAGACCATTGGGTTCAACCACTGGGTAAGCTGACTAAGGGGCAGGAGCTAACTAAACAGGACAACAGAACTTCAAAGAGTGGAAAAACTTGAAACACACCCTATCGGCTTGACCAGCATGATATAGTAGGCCAAAACCTACCTTTCTAACAAAGTACCTTTATCCAGAAGTGGACTATTAAAGCTTGTTGATGATGATGTTCAAGTCTTTAAAAAAGATACTGTGGTGCGCCACTATATTACGTAAGTTAATTTAATAAGGCTATCAACTAGATTTGGGAATAAAGGAATTTTAAGATGTCAATAAAGGATTGGAATAAGGAATTGGTCACCAATTAACTCACAAATAGTAAAAACGTGAATGTGTTAATAATGAATCCCGAACTTTTACTAATTGATTAGCCTGTTGGTCTACTGGTTACCCAAACTGCTAAGGCGGAGGTCATGGGTTTGATTTCCACCCAGGTCAAATAATTTTATAAATATGACAATTGTTCTGCGTCTGGGTGTAATTATTTGTCTATTATATATATTTTAATTTTGAAATTTAATAATATATTATGTATAATATAATAAGATAATTAAAAAAAAAATCCCCTACAACACAGAATATTATTCATAGACAAAACTTTTAAATGTACTTATAAGATATCTAACTTATGTTTTAGTTAGTTGTTAACATTATAGACATACATTTTTAGGATTTTTAGCAGCTCTTAAAGCTAAGTAACTGCTACTCTTCGATTCAGACGGCCGAGAGGAATATTTAACGGCATGCTTCAGAAAATCACGTAAAATTTTTTTACAACTCCTAAAATCAATAAGTATCCCTAAAATAATGTACATCATATGAAGATAACGTTTAAAATATTTTTTATGGGCATAAAATATAAGACAATTTGCAATGTTTACAATTTTTTTCTGTCTGCTCACCTGTCGGTCTGAGTGCGTAGAAACGACAAAAAACAGGTCACAAACTCATTCCTATTACAGCAATGCAATATACAGTCTTCAGGTGTATCCTAAAAACATCATTTAACATCATTATTATGCACAGATTGGCTAAAATTTATATTTCATTGTAGGTTAGAGTTTCACCTCTAAAGATTCGTTGTTGAGCCACTTTATTAGTAAGGTAGCATCTAATTTTCCGGTAAGGACACTTTCTATTATTGTATCTGGCATTTTGGTGTTCAATAGTTTCACTTAAATATTACTTATATATTTTATTGAGCAAAAATCGATTTCCGTTCGCTGCGCGCTCAAACTTCCAGAGCGCCATATTTACGTCATTTTACGTATTGTTCAATATTGTTGCCTACATAAAAATACATGTCATAATAAATGTCAAAACTTTACTATGAAAAGACTAGAATCATTCTATATTGCTAGATAAAAACACTTGATTACTAAATAAATATTATAATTTCGCCTTCTAATTTTTTATAATTATATACTCGATTAGTAGGGTAGATTTAGGTTTTAAATTTTAAAGGTTTGACTGCATGGATGGCGTAGTGGTTTAAGCGGTCGCCACGCCGCTTCCTACAACGCCGAGTGTTGTGGGTTCAAGCCCCACATGGGGCGACACTTTGTGTGATCCACAAATTGTTGTTCTGAGTCTGGGTGTTCTTTGTGTCCGTTTCATGTATGTTTGTAAAGTCCCCCGCGACACAGGATATATTCCTAATGCGGGAGTTGTCTTTTTTTGAAAAGAAAAGAAATAAAAGAAATCGTTCTTCATTGAATCCGTAAGATGGATGTCTCTCAATACATCCACTCATTTTCGATATTAACTCTCTAATGTAAAATAAAAATGAATAATTCTCATTTTAGTAAAGTTAATTTTTCCAATTCATAAAATTCTCACACTATAAATCGACTCGCAATTCCCAGTTACCAATTCACTAAATACCTAGAACTGTCAACGTCACAGAAAGTAGTGCTGAAGTACTATTTGTCTAAATCTCGAATGAATCGAATTTACCAGGTTATAGTGAGTTATGATTATTTCTTCTACATGTCCTGTCCCCAACTTTACTCACGGACGCGGTTATTATATCGCAATACAATAGTAGCAAACATCCTATTGTTTCGTTTGTGGTGTAATTTAGTTGGCTTGAAAACACCTTTTGTGGGTTATTATGGAATAGTTTATATATTAATGAATTAAATATTGTACTGAAATGTCTTGTAAGTTTGATATAAACAGTTTATGCCGTTGCTGTCATGCTCAAGGGAATTTTAAGAGCCTTAATGTATGGACAGCTGAAAATATTCAAGATGACTATTGTGTGTTGCTGAAAGATACATTTGATATTATTGTAAGTATTCATGAATTCATGCCCAACTTTCGATGCTATATTATTTATTTATTTTCTAAATAAAGACGTGTTACATTATAAAACATTTAAAACACAATACTACTTGAAATCTGATTTTATTTTATGATGAAATGATTAGATTTTTGTATAGAATGAATTAAATATACAACTAAATTAGTTATACAACTCTAAAGAAATTATCGGTGTAAATTCATGCAATTGTATGAAAAATTATAAACTTAATTTATTTTAGCAGGGGCTTTTTCAATACTTTTTTTAATTTTATTTTTTTTAATTTATGTAGAGTGCATTAAGATTTTATGGTTTTTATAATACTAGTAACTAAGTACCTTATAATTTACAGTGTAGCATCCTGGATGAAATTTCATAAACCCTTATCTTTACCTGTAACCTTGTGGAGGCAAAATTAGCAATATTATTATCACAGTCATCAATATTACATTCTTGACTTACCTTTAAACCACACTAACACTTTCTTTATACCTACATTCATTAAATATAAGTATAACAGCATACACCAAATCACTTCTATGTGTGTTAGTAGTACTAAAACAAAACTACATATTATTGCAATGTTAAAAATCTCTCCAACAAAAAAATACATGAAATTTATAAACAAAAATAACCTTACATCAACTTAGGAACTTTAAAATTATTCTTTGACATTTAGATAAATAAAATTATTTTTAAAAATTATACTTTATAATTAAAAAAAAAAAATTCATCTGGACTATATTGAAGTCATTGATAAACCAAATTGCTCTAGCAGTGGGGCTGTTATCAGCTCAAGGAGAGCACTATATAGGCAGACAGCACAGAGAGTAGTGGTAGAACCATGTTTCTGCTCATATGGGCTATCTCAACCAGCTTATCCACAGCCCCACAGAAGGGGCTGGACACTGAATCAGTGAGGTGACTGGAACCCAAATCCCACCCCCATTCTGTGATAATTGAAAAGGGGAGGGATATTGCAAGTGTCCGATGAGGCAACGGGATTGAGGCTGAAGATTACTACGGCAGAATATTTTATGTTACTTCTCCGGCTTTCAGATCTCGCCTGTACCCCAAGACATTGGTGTATCATATAATATATGTGGTATATGTGAGCCCAGACTTAGAGATGCTGCATTGTTTAAAAAACAAGTGTTGTCTTGTGAAGACAAGTTGAAACAGTATCTTTACAACAACTGTCAGCTTAAAGGTAACTTTTTCAAATAACTAACTATACTCTGCAGATCCACTTACTATATATTAATTAAAAAGCATAATATTTTGTGGCTGTGGTGCTTCCCTGTTTAAAAGAGTGTATGTCTATTTTACTTCATTTTGTCTCCCACTTTGCTAAGGAAGGAAGTGGATTTATTGTATTTCCAACTCCTCCAATTTTCTTTTGATTAATTTCAATGCGGGTTCCAAGACAGATTATTTTTTTCCTGGGCCCTTCCAAGTACATAACGCCGTGTGTTTGTGGGTCACTGCTGTTGATCCTGGTGTACAGGAGTTACAGTGGTGGGTGTGTGGGACGGATTAGTCCCAGATCCACTTACTACTTCTCTCTATATTCACTTACCATCAGGTATAAACCATTAAAAAAAATTAAATAGCAAAATAACCTTTATTTTTAACATGTAGAAACCCCCTTTGGGCCGTCACCCAACCCGGGTTTGACGGGGGGTGGTGTGCCACTCTGCGCCTCAGACAGCAGAGGTTCTAGAACAGCTAATATTGGTATTGGGTAAATTCTCTATAAATAGCATAACACATGGGGGCTATCAAATGCGAAGATAACAATTATTGTCCGTAGTCCACCTGCGTATTTGCCAATTTTCCTATTTTTAACATGCTGTAATTTTTAATTTTAATACTTCTTATTGTCAGTTAGTTGTGTAATGTATATGTAGATTGGATAACAAAACTATAATTTAACATCTTAGCGCTGATCTGATGATTATCGCCTCATATTTGAGCAAATATAATGTTCTTGATGATGAGTCTTATAAGTTGGACTTGGAAATAATGGTCTTGGGTCCGTATGTCTTAAGGACAGGTTTTGGGATTCCTCCTATTTCAAGCGCACCGTGTAGTTTTAGTCGGTTCGATTCCGAAATACTGCCTCGCCGCAAACCCTGGTGGTGTGTTGGCCTGAAGGGGTTTCCACACGTAAAAAAATTGTTAATGATAAAAAATGGTCTGATGATGAAGTCATAAGGTGAATAATTAAATGAATTACCATATAACTTCTACTTTCAGCCGAGCTCTAGGCAATAGGGTATTACGTCAATTTATTTAAATACTTTATAATACATGGCGGCTACTATTTCATGGTGCTAAAAACAGATTAAAAAAACAATGCTTTAAATTGAATTTAAAAATTATATGTATTTTTTCCATGATAATATATTTTCAGTTTTTTCTAATATAGATATTAGTAGCCGCCATGTTATTACGTCATACCGCTATGTAAACTTAAATGAGTCAGTGTGTGGACAATATATGATTTTGCACATAAATTATAGAATCTAATTAACACACTTAAATAAATTGGCGTAATACCCTATTGTATGTGTACCTTTTTTGTTAATCATGTGATGATTTTAGATGAAGCAGTTTTGGAGAAAGAAGTTAAAAAGGAATTAGGGCAAGATGGTGAGTAAATTACAAGCTTTGTTAGTCCGAACACTAGGTAAATATTGTTACGTGTTACGGTTCAATATTTGGAATAAAATTCCTAGCGATGTCTTAAGAGACTATTTACCAAAACAGTCAAATAAGCCCAATCAATGATACTAATATTATAAAGGCTAAAGTGTGTGAGTGTATGTGTTTGGTACTTCTTCACGCTCAAATGGCTTTACTAATTTTGATAAAATTTGGTAATGAAGTAGCCGACATACTGGGTTAACACATTATCTACTTTTATTCCGAAAAAATTTGGTACTCCCGTTGGATAAGCAAGGAAATGAAAAACTATTATTATATTAATATTATTATTATGTTTGCTACTCCGCGGGCAACACCACGGAGCGTAGCTAGTATTTAATAGTAGTACAAAATGTTCCATGAGGTTACTCTTCTGTTCGCTTCGATCACTTCAAGGTTTATCGAACTGTACTCAAACTGAACTTTCTTACTGCCGAAGATGTCTTGATACTCACTAGACCGCGACGTATCTAAAAAGTTCACAAAAAGTTTTTCTGGGAAACGATAGGTCATTTTTAAAGTAAACCACTTCAGGCGACAATCTATTTCCGATCTTATGCGTATAGCAATAAAGTTAATAACCCTGTGCAGGCTTGCGTTATCATTGAAAATTTCGCGACCTTCTCGCTGTTAATGAACTCTCTGGAAGGTTCGTAACAATATGTCGAGACAACTAATATTTGCCAAGGCTTTTTATTTATAATTTAATTATGTCAGGCAATTCAAAAGTATGTAATGAATACCAATCGTGAGTGCGAGAATCCCCATTAGCAGCGTAAGTATAATTATATAATCATATATCTCTATAATCATTTTTATTTGCAGGTTGTAAAATAGAAACGCTAACTCATTCGGATGAAAAGTTGGACACACAATGTAGTGGTGAGTAAGGTCTTTCATATTTAAGACTAGCTGAGACACGCGGTGTTCCCGCGTTTGTTGTTATAACCGCGGGCAACGCCGCGGGGCGTTGCTAGTCTAAAAAAGTAGCCTAAGTTACTCCTTATGTCATCAGCTATCTGCCAGTGAAAGTCCCGTCGAAATCGGTCCAGCCGTTCCAGAGATTACCCGAACAAACAGACAGACAGACAAAAATTTAAAAAAATGTTATTTTGGCATATGTACCGTGTAAACATACATATTATGCATTTAGTAAAAAGCGGTTATTTTAATATTACAAACAGACACTCCAGTTTTATTTATTTGTATAGATTGACTTTATCAGGCAGTATCCGTGTGGTGACGGATTAAGACTACGGAGTCACCACTCCTGTTCATCCCGCGGGTGTCGTAAGAGGCGACTAAGCGATTTATTTATGTAAAACATTTAATTTTCACGTCTTTAAATATCTAAATAATTTTTCGTGCCTTTATTGATCACATTTTGTACTTGAATAAAAAAGTTATAATTGTCAGATTTTTAGCTAGCATGACCTGTAATGGCGAGTTACATCGTCTGTATAAAAATCTGACACTCGAGTATTCGAAATGGCGATTCTTTTTTGAATTTTCTAAAATTAGCCACGAGCTTTAAATCGTCGGACTTTTAATGGAAACATTTTTAGGGTTCAATTAACCTATCCTCTAAATACTTATCTGATGCGTCTGAATTTTTTTCTTCTCCGTATATTTCGCCCCTCCGTGCAAGCTGGCAGATTAGCATACCTTAGTAATGAGAGGCCTATGTCCAGCAGTGGACTAGTATAGGCTGTTGATGATTGAATGAGAGGCACGTTGGGTTATTTAACCAACAATATATAACACGCTCGAGTCACGGCTGAACTTTGATTATTTACTGCTATCAGTCCTCCACAACCTAAGTACTAAGCGATATCGAAGTTCTGTAGAAAGACTGTTGTGTGACTTTTTAGGGCTCCAAGTACGCGTAACGATTGCTTCAGATGTTCGTATGACAACCGGGACCATCGGCTTAACGTGCTCTCCGAGGCACGGAGGGTCTCAACGCGTTAAGGCTGGTCACCCATCCATAGATTGACCTGGCTACTGTTTTTTTTTTACATTTTGAAAACCTGTAGACGCTTCCCCCACCGATGCAAGTGGAAACATTATATATTCTTATATTAGAGTACTAAGGGGTGAAAGGTTACTACCCTACTATAAGGTCATAGCCAATTTAGTTTTAGTCGATTCTGTAATCGATTGCAGACATCAAACTTCAACACTTCGACAAGTTCCTGCAAGCTGAAGACGATGACCAACCACTGTCTACATTGTGTAACCCTAAGGCCGTGGAGTATGAACCGCCGGAGCTACATGATGACCCTGGTGTGGAAGATGTGGATTGGAGAACGAGAGATTTAAGTGATGGTAAGGTTCATAGAAGTCAAGGAAAGATACTTTAAGTTAAACTAGGTTTATTTAGCCATATATTTCTCTTCTTTTTTTACAAAAGAAAACCCTATAATCTATTTTGGTCAAGTTATCCTGCCAACATGTATGAAAAATTACATGGTATTAGTTCAATTAGGTAAGGAGAGAGAGTGTAACAAATAAATTAACAATCCCAAAACCAAATCCTAGAATTTTCCGATAACAGATTTTTTGCTGCAAGGGATAATATACGTAGACAATAAACTCTGACAGACCTTAAGCACTCTTTTCTCTCAAGGCTGGAGACGAACAAGTCTTCAGTTCAGTCAGAGAGTAGGTGAGTACTTGACTGAACACTAGTCCAAAACACCAATGTAGGTGGTCAAGGAAAAAGGAGTTAGTCAGGCCCTTCCATCAAGCAAGACTCCACGGATGGGGAAGTAGTTTGAACTGAACCTCGCCGCTTCCTAAAGCGCTGGGTATTTTGGGTTCGATACCCACACGGGATACCACTTTGTATGATCTACAAATTGATCTTCTGAGTCTGGGTGTTCTTTGTGTCCGTTTCAGGTATGTTTGTAAAGTCCCCCGCTACACAGGATATATTCCAAGTGCGAGAGAGGTCTTCTAAAACAAAAAGTACATTATTCTGTAAATTCGATTAAAACATGTTTATTTTCCATGTAATTCAGCTGGATTCATGATTCACTACCGATTAAACCTTCACTTGAAAGGATTATAACCCAAAACCTGTAGATGACGGCCGGATGGCGTAGTGGATTGTGTAACGGACTGCTACATCAAAGGTCGCGGGTTCGATTCCCGCTCAATTCAAATATTTGTGTGCATGAACATTTAATGTTTTATTTGGTCTGGGTGTTTCTATGTATAATATGTTTGTATTTACAAAAAAAAAGTATATGTATTTATATCAGTTGTCTAGTAACCATAGTACAAGCTCTGCTTAGTTTGGGACTAGATGACGTTAAATGATTGTGGTGAAACCAAAGCTTCTGACCTGACCTCAAATATAATTATTATATTTTCAGAGGAGGAGCTTAGAGAAAAAAAGACAAAATCAAAAAAATATTCCTGTGAAATTTGTCAAAAGAAATTCTCTTACAATGGTTCTTTGGAAGTTCATATGAAAGTCCACAGCGGAGAAAAATCTTTCACATGTCATTTATGCAACACTTCTCACACAGACAATAAAGAATTGACCAAACATATAACTATAACGCATATAGTCGACAACCGATACCCCTGTAACCAGTGTGAAAAGATTTTTGAAAAAGCCAGACTGCTGAAGAAACATATAAAAACGCATTATAATGAAAAATTCAAGTGTACCGAATGTGAAAAAGAATTTCAAAGAAAGAAGGGTTTGAAAGAACATATGAAGACACATACGGGGGAGAGGAAGTACACCTGCGATATTTGCAATAAATCCTTTGGACATAACCAGACGTTGAAATCTCATATGTTCACGCATACTGGAGAAAGGCCTTACGTTTGTGATGTCTGTGGGAGAAGATTCCCCCAAAGAACCCATCTTAAAAGACATATATTCATAATTCATGCTGGTATCAAACCCCACAGTTGTAACGTTTGCAAAAAACAGTTCTCCAGTAAAAGTTATCTGGCAATACATGAGAGACAGCATACTGGAGAAAGACCGTATTCCTGCGAAGTTTGCAAGAAAGATTTCACTGCGTACACAACTTTGAAAGTTCATATGCGGGTACATACAGGTTTTAAGCCGTACACATGCAGCTTTTGTGACAGACAATTCGCCCAAATGGCCAGTTTTAAATTACACCAAAGAACTCATACTGGCGAAAGACCGTTTTCTTGCAAGATTTGCAAAAAACCATTTTCAGATAATGGGTATTTAAAGATTCATATGCGTGTACATTCTGGGGAGAAGCCGTTTTCTTGCGAGATATGCAAGAGATGTTTTAGAGAGACTGGTCAGTTGAAAAGACACATGCGTGTACACACAGGTGTAAAACCTTACACATGTAAAATTTGTAATAAGCAGATAGGTAATTTATCGAAGCATATGAGAGTGCATTCAGAACAAAGGCCTTTTAGTTGCAATGTGTGCAATAAACAGTTTTCTGTTAATGGCAATTTGAAGTTGCATATGAGGGTGCATACTGGTGAAAGACCGTTCAGTTGTGATTTGTGTAGCAGCCAGTTTACACAAAGTAGTGGTTTAAAGAGGCATCGGTGTGTTCATAGTGGTAAAAGTGATAGTTAAAGTAAGACTGGAGATATACTAAATATTTAAAGGCGAGGCCGAGTGTCCTATGATACGGGATACGGATAGTGCCGTATAGTCTATAACATTTTCTTTGAATTACTGCTATTAACTTCTAAGAAATAGTAGAAGGAAGTTTTTGAGGTTTCCGTACCGTTCAAATCAAGAAATGAACCCCTTGTAGGAAGTGATCAATTCGTTATCTGTCTGTGAAGACCCTGTTTCGATTTGAACGATTCGATTCGATTGCGGCCTATTAAAGCTTTAAAAAAAATTGGCTTTGAAATCAAAAGATACGGCCAAGTAGACTCGCACAGGATTACTTAGGATTTCACAAATTTGATCATTTCTCAAAATAATGCGCAATGAAAAATCTGCAAAGTACCCATAGCCTTAGAATCACGACATTCGCGGAAAAAGTTTTTACAGAACGAAGATAGAAAGACAAATTGTTCGTTTGCTGCCATGGGAGAACCGTGCATATGTGTGGCGACTCGACCGGAGTGATTCCACGGGCTTACAAGCAATTTTTTAGTTGGTTTTCACTGAGTGAGCGAGGTTACAGGAAGCCTAAACCCCTCCTCACCCTGATTTTGGGAGGTGGCAATGCATTTGTGACTACCATCGGCAGCGGGATTGGGAGAGGAAGCTCCCCAATCGCCGATGTGGCCGCTGCAAACGACTCGAGACAGGTGACACTCCGGTGCGGCCGGGGGTTGTTTACAAAGGCGAAGCGCTGTTGCGCCTCTTGCTGTATAGAGCACTACGAGGCGCGGTAGTGTCAAACCCTGGGATGTGTCTCAGCCATGGGGTGCGGCTGGGAAGACTCCAGAAACCGCTGATGTGTTCCTGGAGTTCCTCCCGACTGCCGAGGTAGACCGGTAGAGTAGAGTAGAGTGGGTAGACCGGTTCTCGTGGAGTCCCACACATGCCCTCCGTTTTCCCAACGGAGGGTATGGTGTACAAAAAGGTGACCCGACTGCTCGTATGCCCTTCAATTTAATAATAAAATTTGTTTATATATTCGGTTATATCTGAGGAAGAAGGACATTCTGAAAGGTTATCATCTCGATCGAGCCGGCCCATATGTGTAGGAGCAAGGCTCTCTTACGATAAAAAAATCATTACTAGTTAGTTATTCTATCCCTCAGAGAAAATACTTTTTAGGACCTCTGACAATGTTTCGCAGGACGAACGCAGGACAACAGCACTACAAAGGGAAGGAAAACTTGACACAAATCCTATACCGACCCGTCTGGCCAGCGTGGTATAGTAGGCCAAAACCTTTCTAAGGAGAGGTCTATGTCTAGTCGTGGACTATTAAAGGCTGTTGATGATGACAAAGTTTCAGCAAAATTTCATGACAATCGGTTCAGTAGTTAAGGCATGAGAGCGTTACAAACCCACTGTCATATTTACAATGTTAGTTATAATAATATAAACATGAACAATTATGAATACGCTTGAAAATCACGAAACAAAATATTTTATTTTTTTATTAATTAATAAAACAAGTATTACACATAGCCTAAGTATAAAATATTATATAGGTAACTACTTCATTATTTATTTAATAATTTATTAAATGATTTTGTACATATTTGTATATGCTAAAATAAAATTATTTTGTATTAAATTTTGTTTTACAATAGTATTTTATCTTCACCCCCCCCCCCCCTCCCCCCTCAACATCACTTTCCTTAACCAGTTAGTCAGTCGATTTATCTGCCCTGGTGTCCTGTCTAATCACAGGACGGATGTATATATTGGTAAGGTTTATCCTGGTCTGCATTCAAGATTGCAGACTCGATCTCATTTTCCAACCAAGCGGTATTCCTTTTCAGAGCGAATTAAAAAGTAAAATATAGTGTCACCATCTACCAACGTTCTGGGTCCATCATTAGACCAACGTTCAAAATTAGCAGTTTGGTAGAAAACTTTATTTTGGTATATGTGAGATTCACGTGGAGTAGGAGTGTGGTCGTCTTGTTCTTCAAAAAGGGTGATAAGACCAGGTTGAAGAACTATCGACCCATATCCCTTCTAAGCCACGTCTACAAGCTGTTTTCGAGAGTCATCACGAACCGTCTTGCGCGAAGACTCGACGAATTCCAACCACCGGAGCAAGCTGGGTTTCGGAGCGGATATGGCACCATAGACCACATCCACACAGTGCGGCAGATTATACAGAAGACCGAAGAATATAATCAGCCCCTGTGTCTAGCATTCGTGGACTATGAGAAAGCCTTTGACTCGATCGAGATCTGGTCTGTTCTGGAGTCCCTGCAGCGTTGCCAAGTAGATTGGCGATACATCAAAGTGATGAGATGTCTCTACGAAGCCGCCACCATGTCCATCCAAGTACAGAATCAGCAAACAAGGCCCGTACCATTGCATCGAGGAGTGAGACAAGGGGACGTTATTTCCCCGAAATTGTTCACAAATGCAATGGAGGACATGTTCAAGACGCTGCACTGGAAAGGGCGTGGCATCAATATCAATGGCGAATACATCTCTCACTTGCGATTTGTAGATGACATCGTCATCATGGCAGAGACGTTGCATTACCTACAGCAAGTGCTGAATGACTTAGCTGACACTTCTGTACGCATCGGCCTACGGATGAACTTGGATAAAACCAAGGTCATGTTCAACGAACATGTACTACCGGAACCGATTGCGGTACACGGTGCCGTTCTCGAAGTTGTTCAAAATTATGTGTACCTCGGGCAGACATTGCAGTTAGGTAGAAACAACTTCGAGGACGAGGTGAACAGAAGAATTCGGTTGGGTTGGGCAGCGTTTGGGAAGCTACGTCGAGTCTTCTCATCGTCGATCCCACAGTGCCTTAAGACGAAAGTCTTTAATGAGTGCGTCCTACCCGTCATGACATACGGAGCTGAAACGTGGACACTTACGGTACGGCTGGTCCACAAGTTCAAAGTCGCTCAACGTGCTATGGAAAGGGCTATGCTCGGCGTTTCTCTAAGGGATCGCATCAGAAATGAGGTGATCCGGCAGAGAACTAAGGTCACCGACATAGCGTACCGGATCAGCAAGTTGAAGTGGCAGTGGGCTGGCCATATTAGCCGCAGAACCGATAACCGTTGGGGAAAACGAGTTCTTGAGTGGAGACCGCGTCTCGGCAAACGTAGTGTAGGACGCCCACAGGCCAGGTGGAGTGACGATTTGCGCAAGATGGCTGGCAGGAGCTGGATGCGAGAAGCCCAAAATCGATCTAAGTGGCGTGCAATGGGAGAGGCCTATGTCCAGCAGTGGACTGCGATAGGCTGATGATGATGATGATGATGAGATTCACGAAGTGCATATCATCTTAGATACCGTTACACTGGACTGGTTAAAATTATATTAGGTCTTTACCTATGAAATTGCCGTTTTGTATGCAATAAGTGAAAGTAATTTTTTTTTCAAACCTTTTATTTCTGTTATTCGAAGGAATCACCCATGCAATCGACGCATCTTTGCCAACGCATTGGCAGTTTATTGATGCCCTTCTTGTAAAAATCAGCTGGACGGGAGGCAACAAACTCTTCAAAGGCATTTTGTACTGCCTCTCGGGAATTGAATTTTTTACCCAGCATTTTGGAAAAAGTAATAGTCGGTAGGTGCAAGGTCTGGTGAGTATGGCGGATGAGGGAGAGCTTCCAACCCCAGCTCTTGCAGCTTGGAGACTGTCTGTTGCGCAGCATGGGGTCGCGCGTTGTCGTGAAGGAGCAGTGGGGACGACCGATTGACCAAAGCTGGTTGCAGATGTCAAAATCAAAGACTGGTCCAAATTATCTATACAATTTTGCATTTTTGATGGCAGTTTGTTTATCCCTTCACTGTAGAAGTCTGTTGGACGGGAGGCGATGAAGTCAGCGAAAGCGTTTTATACTGCCTCTCGGAGGTTGAATTTTTGCCCACTTCAAAAATTGACTATATTTGGAAAAAAAACGTAGAAATCTGCTGGGACAAGGTCCAATAAGTACGGTGGGCCAGCCAGCCGTAACTCTTGTGTAATCTATTTTTAGCACACTGTACCCGGGTTCACCCATTGATACGAATGCTTACAGTTGTCGTACAGGATAAATTTTTCATCGCAGGTAATAATTCGGTTCAGAATTCTCTCGTTTCTGTGCCGATTCAGTATTTCTAATAAATCTATGGAGGCAATTATTGATAATTTGTCAAGTGCACTCAGTTTATTATCGGCGTGGTTATATCGCCATGATCTTTCTTCATCGGTCTCAAAGAGTTCGGTCGTAATTTTTACCAAAAAGTGAATGATTCCCCAAGATGACATTTCAGTCCTTGGTGAAGTCATTCCGCAGTATGATAGAGTTAAATTCCTTGGGGTGTGGTTGGATTCCAAATTGACAGGTGTGTCTCATACTGATTATGTTGTAAAGAAGTGTGAAAAAACATTAATGTCCTTCGCTCCCTTTCGGGAGTTTGGTGGGGTTCTCATTCCGTTTTCCCAAAAACTCCTATACGACGCTATTGTCCGCAGTCATCTGGATAACGGCTTATTTGTTTTAGATCCTATAAATAAACCTGGTCTCCAAAAATCGACAAAATTCAGTCCAAATGTCTTCGCATTATTCTCGGAGCGATGAAATCCTCCCCTATTAACGCTATGCAGGTTGAATGTGGTGACCCTCCTCTTTTTCTTCATAGACGATGTCTTACCAACAGATTATTTTTTAAACTTATCCAAAATGCTGACCATCCGCTCCTTTCCAACTAGATCAGCTATCTAACTTATTGAATAACCACGATCCAATTCTAATAAAATTACCCCCTGCCTTCTTCTTGCTTACCAGCAATTCACGCGTCTTTCCAATCCTATACTCCAAAACTCCACCCCCTTTTTTTTCATACGCCATATGAAGTGTTAATACTCGTATTCCAACCAAATGTCATTCTGGACTTGGGAATCAACAAGTGTCCAATAGCATCGAAAAGTCTATTAACTGATTAAAATAACTGCAGTTACAATAATTTGCGCCTAATTTTTACAGACGCTTCAAAAATCTCATTAAATGGCCCAGTCGGTGCTGCTGTCTGGATTCCTTCTGCTAGCATAATTCTAAATTATAAATGTTCCGCTACTTCTGTCTTCACTGGTATCTCTTCTGGTCTATAGCAGTCTTAGAAGCTATTTCCTTTATAAAATCCCACAATTTAAACAATAGTATATTTTTTTCAGATTTCAAAAGTTGCCTTCAATCTATTCTATCAAACTCATTCTGTCAAATCCCAGTAATTTTATTGTCCCTAAAATTAGATATCTTTTATTTCAATGTCAGGAACTGAACATAAATATTGTCTTGGCCTGAATTTCTGGACGCGCAGGAATTCTAGGAAATGAGAAAGCAGATTCATGTTCAAAAAATGCTATTTAGATAGGCTCTTATGAGTTCATGACCATTCAGAAATATACTCTTATGATATCTGTTCATCCCTTAAGTCACAGCTGTTTGATTCGTGGTCTAGGCTGTGGCACGTGTCGAAAACTATGAGAGGCTAATTTTACGGCGACATACAACCAGAGATTCCACTTAAGCCCTGGTTTGCTAAATTCACAAAATTAAATAAAAACACCACTTCTACAATATGTCGGTTGAGACTAAATCACTCCTGCATTCCGGTATTTTTAGCAAAACTCAGAATTAGTTATAGCTCCATCTGAGAGTGTGGTTTTGATGAGGGAAACGCGAACCATATAGTTTTTAATTGTCCCAGGACCAGGTTTCCTATATTCCTCATCCCACGTACCTTAAATTACTCTTATCTCGCGTTTTTACTTCTTTTGTATACAATCTAGGTAAATGTATAACTTTATGTTAAGAAGGTTATATACATCAGTTACAAATTGTCTATCTTTAATATGATGATGTTACCTAGCAACTGTTGTTAATTTGTAGTCAAGAATAAATTTGTCAATAACAGAAACTTGCTTTCCATATTATATTTTATTTTATAATATTAAAGTGGTAGCAGAGCGTGGTTCCGATCCACGGACCTCTGGGTTATGGGCCCAGAAGAAACCCAGACTGAGTCATTTAAGAATAATAGGATCCATTTGTTATCCACATGTTCCCAAGCAAAGACGAAAGAAGTTAGACAAGAAGGCACAAAAAGGAATATTAATTGGATATGACTCTGACAATGGCTACCGTATTTGGGACAGCAACTCTTTCAAACTGATTCGTTCCAGAGATGTCACTTTTAATGAGAATCCTTTATTGGGTCACTTTGAAGAGATTGACGAGCCTGTTGCCAATCAGAACAAAACTGCTGATAAAAATTCCAACACCCTGTTTGACTTCGTCATTCCTCGTCAGCATGAATGTTACACGCCGGCCGACACGAGCAACATCCAGCAGACATTGACAAGTCATGATGAAAGTATCGCATCGTCTTCTCAGCAAGATGAACATGCTGCTGAATCATCATGTGCAGAGATTGAAACTGCGAGTGAAGATGACGTGCCAGAGGCTGAAACATTTTTAGAGGCGGAGGAATCCTTTTACGAGCCTATATCCGAAGAAGAGGTTAGCGATGTAATCGAGACAGATCGTCAAGTCAACGATATAAATGAATCGAGGCCAGACCGTAGAGACGATTCGTCTTTATCTGCATCTGAGATCGAGGCTGAAGGCAGGATGACGCTACGAGACCGATCAAATCTCAGGCCACCGGCTAGATACAAAGACTTCATTTGCAACATTTGTATGAATGGCAATTCGATAAGCGATGAAAATCGAAAAGAGCCAAGTACATTTCAAGAAGTGATGGCATCTAAAGATTTTGATGAATGGAAAAAGGCAATGGATAATGAAATGAATTCTCTAAAAGAAAATGAAACATGGGAAATGGTAGATTTACCCAAGGGCAGAAAAGCGATCTCAAGCAAGTGGATTTTTAAGATCAAGACGAATCCTGACGGATCGATTGATAAATACAAAGCCAGACTTGTAATAAGAGGTTTTTCACAGAAGAAGGGTTTAGATTATTATGAAACCTTTAGTCCTGTTGCAAAGACAAGTACCATAAGAGCATTACTCAGTATAGCTGCTCAAGAAAATCTCTCTCTATGTCAGTTCGACGTTTCAACTGCCTTTCTATATGGCAAATTGAAAGAGGATATTTATATGAAGCCTCCAGAAGGATATTCAAACAATGATGGTAAAGTTTGCAAACTTAAACGAAGTCTCTATGGACTTAAACAAGCACCGAGGTGCTGGAACTCTACTATTACTGAGCACATCCTCAAAGTTGGCTTCATACAGAGTGAGGGTGACCCCTGCTTGTTTAAAAGAGAGGGAAAGAACAAGTTATTAATAGCTTTATATGTTGATGACGGATTGATAGCGTCAGCAAGTTCAAAAGAAACTGAAAAGTTTTTGGACGAAATGCGTCAACGCTTCAAAATCACACCGAAATGCGGTTCCTATTTTCTTGGAATTGAAATAGAACGTAAAGTTGATGGGTCAATCAAAATTGATCAAAAGAGCTATGCAAAGAAGCTACTGCAAAGATTTGGCATGCAGAATTGCAAAGCTGCAGTAACCCCAATTGTTAAAGATAACGTGCTAGCTTCGAAAGACAATACGGATATCCATGACTTTCCATATCGACAGGTTGTTGGAGCATTATCCTATTTGATGGTTGGCACTAGACCTGACATTGCTTTTGCAGTTGGAATAGTGTCACGGAAGCTAGATAATCCAACATCAGAAGATGTAGCGAGAGTTAAGCGAATTCTACGCTATGTTAAAGGCACCCTAGAGTATGGTATAACATACAAATCTTCCACTGTAGAACGAGGCTTAAGATGCTACAGTGATGCTGATCATGGTGGTGATGAGACGACTGGACGCTCCACCAGCGGCATGATTTGTCTCAACGCCAATGGTGCAATAGCATGGCAGAGTAAACGTCAGACTACTGTCGCAATATCTTCTACAGAAGCTGAAATAATTGCAGCAAGTGAGGCCGCCAGAGAAGTTATATGGCTTAAACAGATCATGAACTTCATGCAGAGTAATACTCAGAAGGAGATTACACCACTCTTTATAGATAATGAATCCGCTATAAGATTAGCTTATGATCCACCTTACGAAGCACACCAGCGAACAAAGCATATAAGGCTTAAACATTTTTTCGTAAGGCAGTGTGTCCTAGAAAAGGATATAAAAGTTGAGAAGGTTGATACCAAGAATCAACTGGCAGATTTCTTGACAAAGCCATTATTTAAGCCTAGGCTTCTAGAACTATGTAAGCTAGCTGGAGCCTCCACTTAACCAACAGTTGCTTGAAGAGGAGACGGAATGTTAAGAAGGTTATATACATCAGTTACAAATTGTCTATCTTTAATATGATGATGTTACCTAGCAACTGTTGTTAATTTGTAGTCAAGAATAAATTTGTCAATAACAGAAACTTGCTTTCCATATTATATTTTATTTTATAATATTAAAGCTTTAAACAAAATTAAATTATTGTTTCAATATCACAGTGTAATATTAGTTTTTGTCTTACTGGTTATTTATTATTATGTATATGTATATATATTACTAGTTTAAGTTTTATCATGCCTGTAAAAGTCAACAATTTATTCATTCTTATTCTTTCTTTCTCAAGATTTGTTTTTTTTTTTTTTTTTTGCTCTACCACAGCTCTACATAAAATCCTTTGAAAGTTTGTATTTCAAATACATGACATTGGCGAAATTGTGGTTATACTTCTCATTTCTCATATTATTCAATTTACTCTGTGGTTACATTCCCCCACAAAGCCATTAAACGAAAGTTGAAGTTGATAATTATATTGTGATGGTATTGTTTTTGTTTAAAAATTCCTCAAATAACAAATAAACATGACCGAAATATGGAATTTAAGTACACTGTGTCGTTGTTGTCATTCCGATGGGTGTTTCAAGAAACTTAACCTGCCATATCAAAGTGAAAATAATGTCGAAATCTATGAATCGATGTTGCAGGAGGCATTAGGAATTAAAGTGAGTGATCTTCACTTTAATATTACGAAATGGTATCATAAGTTCATTTGTGATTGACCAACATGTGTATACACTGATAACACATCCAACACAGAATATAAACCAGTGTACCAAATAATTATAGGTGAATACAGCATTCACAAATATAAAAACAGCTCAAAACAACAAAAAACTTAATAATAGATTTAATTTGTTACTAAACTACTAAAAATTAAATCTAACGTAATTTGCAACATTGTTTAAAAGAAAGAATGAAATAACGTTTTTTTGGGCAATAACACATCACTTTAGACAATTTTGCAGCTTGAATTACCAGCGATGCCAAAAACGGACCCAATTCAGCTTTGTGTCAGATAAAAGCCTGATGCTGGATTTCAATTGGGCCCAAAATGATGCTGTGCGTAAAACCAGTTGCAGACCCTAATTGCTACGCTGTGTACATACATGATAAGGTTAATAACATATAGAAATGATATATAACAGACAAATAACAGATATACAGATCAAGTCTATACACACTATTATATACACAACATTACACTAATTTTGAATGCCTCATGTGCCTAGTTTTATGAGGTGCACAAGGCATCCAAAGTTTCAGGTTGGTTCAGGTCAGTTTCAGGTCACAAGGCATTCCAAGTTATTGTAACATGGCATGGCATTATCTCTTTACAGATGCTCACCATTCTAAATATAAATAAATATTGAGACACAATGCCATTTAGTTTTATACTAAGCAGAGTGTGTACTATGCAAGCTAGATTGACTTATAGAATACTATACCTTTTGTAAATACATGCATATTATACATTGAAAACACCCAAACTCTGAAACAAATATTTGCAGAGCATACAAACATTTCGTCAAACCCAAGGTCCTCCGCAGAACGGTTGCATATGCTATCATTACACCACCAAGACAGTCAAATGGTTCTGGTTTTGGACACAAAATTCCGGCATCTAGGTTTTATAACTAGCTATCAGTTAAATCTTGCTTTCTCTTTTATAGGTGTTTCAAACAACTATAGAACAAGCCTCCTACATGATATGTGATGATTGTATAAAGCGGCTCCGAGATGCCGTTCAATTTAGACTGCAAGTTTTAGCTTGTGAGCAGAAGTTCAAAGAGTATTGTACCAGTAAGTATGTTTGTACCAGTAAGAATGCTTCATATATTTAACAGAAACAATCACATTGTATCTTCTCATTAACAGCTTCTAATAGTCCACTGCTGAACATAGGCCTCTCCTTAAAAAGGCGGTTTTGGCCTACTATACCATGCTGGTCAGATATGTTCTGATAGGGTTTGTGTCAAGTTTACCTTCTCCTTGTAATGTTGAAATTGGTTGTAACAAACTTTGTCCACACTACGAACAAACCTCCTTTCTATGGAGTTTTGTACGTAGTGTAGTTGATCTCTCCTTTTTAAAGAGAGGCCTATGTCCAGCAGTGGACTATTATAGGCTGTTAATGTGTTAATGACTATGTACTGTACCTACACGCTAGTGGCTACAATCAGTTATGTGTTTGTAGTTTTATTTCCCGTTATTCATCACTAGTTAGTGGTGTGGTTCAATGGTGTAGCTTCAACCAATCTGGCCAGCATAGTATTATAAGTAATCCAAAACTTGTCCAGCAGAGTACAAAGTTTATTAATGATGATGATGATGACATTATAACATTCAATTAATTTCACAACTGATTTATTCTGACAAATTGCTCTGCACTATCCAAAAATACCTAATAGTTGACACAGTCTGTAAATTGTTTATTTACAATTTCTTGTGAATACTTTCAGATGAACAATTTCAAGTTAAAACTGAAGTTGAATCAAATGGCGCTGACATTTGTGACATCGATGGGGATGAAGATATGCAGAGAGGTATGTACCTATTTAATTTGTAAGGACTCCTTACTGGTAAAGAGAATGTGAGGATTGTCATATGAGAGTTTCATCATCAACAGCCCTTAACAGTCCACTGCTGGACATAGGTCTCTCCTTAAAGTGGAGGTTTTGGCCTACTATACCATGCTGGCCAGATGGGTTGGTATAGGGTTTGTTTCAAGTTTTCCTTCTTTTTGCAGTTTTGTTGAGTTTAGGGTTGCCACCTTTTGTTTTGGTAGAAAAAGTCTATATTGGTAGTTTTTTTTTTGGTATAAAATTATTGTGGTAGACAAAATGTTTAATTTCCACCAAAACTTAATATACATATTATTTATATTTAAAACATACACATTAAATTTAACTATAGCTACTATAGAAATTAGAAAACTTATATTGTTTTTTTTTTGTTATTTACAGGTGATGATGATTCACAAAAAGATGATGAGCAGATGCACTCAGTTCCAGTAAAAGAAGGTGAGATGCTCATCTTTACATCTTTATGTCGCTTTACGTTTGTATGTCCGCTAGTTGTTCCTAAACTACGCAACGGATTTTGACCAGTTCTCACCATAAAATCGAATTATGTTTTATTTAAGTCCAGTATAAAAAATCCAGTATTTTGAATTCACGTGGTTGTTAAATAAATTTACATGTTTTACGTAGGCTAAACCTTAAGCGATACTTGAAAATGATGTACTTAATATTTATAAATAACCTCGTGGTGACGGATTAAAAATACGGAGTGGCAACACTCCTATTTATCCCGTGGGTGTCGTAAGAGCCAACTGAGGGAGTAAACTAGGCAGGACAACAACACAGCAAACAGAATTAAAACTTGACACAAACCGTATACCAACCCATCTGGTCAACGTGTTATAGTAGTCCAAAACCTCCTTTCCAAGAAGAGGCCTATGTCCAGTAGTGGACTTTAATAGTCCACTACTGGACATAGGCCATAGGCATAGGCGGACATAGGCTCTTGGTGGGATGATGTGATGTGTTTAATATTCCGCAACACACACATAGCCATCTGATACTTACAAATATAAATAGAGGGAGAGGGGGATCAAGGCATGGCAGGTCTACACCAGGGGTCGTCTCTGGTGAAGCAATCAGAGTCACTAACCACTAGACCAACAGGCTAGTTAAAGGTATAGTCTCCGGTAGCCTCATTCGATCGGCTGAAATTTAAAAAGGGCGGTTAAATAATCAATAATAATCAAGTATAATATTAATCATCCCCATCCCATGATTCAGTCCCAAACCCAAATAGCGGAAAGCACTTGAGTTGTATTGTCTATGTGTGGCGGTAGTCACTTACCATCAGGTGGCCCGTCTGCTCATTTGTCCTCTTTACCACAAATGAAAAAAAATATATAATAAGTATAAAACCTTTTTTAAAAACAAACTTTTATTTGTGTGTTCCGCCATGTTGGATTTAGAATGACGTCATACAGCTAACCATGTATAATGGCATCCAAACTAAACGTGTACACAAAATTTCCGCTCAACCAGTTGAAGATAAATTGATAAAATTGAGTTGCAAGATTCAACCCGAACAAACATGTTACATACATTGCAAGTTAAATAAAAGCTTGTAAAAACAAACATACACTCATTTCATAGACACATTAATTCTCTTTCCGTTTTACCGTCATTTTGCGTAAACGAAAATATCTATAACAAAAAAAACTCGCACTCCGAACTTTTTATTAAAAATGCAGGTACTTTAATAATTTGCCGTATTATTTTTGTGGTCGCCATCTTTAACTTCCAAATATACGTCAAGCCTTCTATAACTATCCGCCTAATATATTTTTTTTGTTCTATTTAAATAGAAAAAAGAATAAACGAAACAGCATATGAGGACGACAGTTCATTTGACGAAGCTTTACCGAGCACATCGAGTTCAAGCAACGATATACACCCAACCATACTTGACGGCAGTTTCTTTGAAATAATTCCCAATCAGTCCCAGACTAGTAGCGTTGTGGCTTTGTGCAAAAAATGTTCACCCAATCGAGTGGAAATTAAAGGTAATAGAAAGTGTACATCGAATTTCAAGACTCATTTGAAAAGAAAACATGGCAGCGATACTGTACTCGAATATGAAGCTTATGTGAAAAGCAAAAGATGTAAAATTATTGGTTCTTTTGTACCTGAGTGTGAAGAGTCTGTGAGTAATAAAAGGCCTGGAATGAGGGATGAGTCAGTTGAACTATCACCGCAAAGCCAAACCTCGAACTTGGCTTTATATACGCAAAGTGATTTCGATCGGGATTTTGTGAAGTATTTTATAAGTTCAATGGTATCTTTATCGTCGGTCGACGACCCGTATTTCCGACAGCTTTTGCAACGTTCAAACCCTACTCTACAAATTATGAGCAGGCGTTTTCTTGGGATGAACATAACCCGGTCTTTCATTCAAGGACAAAATTGGATAAAGCAAGAATTAGCTGAAACTACGCACGTTTTTATGACAGTTGATGTTTGGTCTGGATCCCAAATGAGCTTTATCGGTGTAATAGCTCATTGGCTGGATAGACACACGTTAAAACGTACATCCAGAGCTTTGGCTTGTGAATCATTCAAAAGGACTGAAAGTCATAACACAGTATATAAAATGTTATGTGAAATAACGGAAGCATTTCGTTTGCGTCACAGTAAACAAGTTCACACTTATGTGCTACGTAACGAAAGTAACCTTGTTAAAGCTTTTAAGAGTTTCGGTATATATCCTAGTAATATTTCAAGAGAATTAACTTGGCTGTCTTGTGCTGAATCTTCATCACATACTGAAGAGTTAGATAGCGACACTACAGAGATTAATAAAACTTCAATAGTAGACTACTTAGAACAACATTTGACACACAAGTTAAAATGTGCCACTCATATTTTGAACGAATGTGCTATCGATGCTAGTGAGGTACTTGAGGATCAAGATACAGAATTATCGAAAATTCACTATCAAACTTTAGAGAAATGTAATATATTATGGAAGGCCTCAAGTAGACTCCCATCCGGTCAAACTATTCGTTATATCTTGGGTCACGTACTACCAAGACCAAATAGCATAAAATGGAATAGTATATATGAAGCTTTAAAAGAAATATACAACATGAAAGACAAGTATACATTAATCAATAAAGCTTTAAATTTAAAAAATGATATTTCTGAAACAGAATTTCTGTATATAAACGAATATTTGACGTGCACTCAACCCATTGCAGATGCTCTGGATATTCTCCAAGGCGAAAACGCTACTTATTACGGTATTTTGTTCCCAACTATATTATCGTTGAAAAAGAAATTGGTTCGACTACTTGGACAAGGAGATACCTTTATGTACTGTAAGGAATTGGTTAAGGCTTATCTCGTCTCTGTTGAGTCGAAGTTCAAAGACTATCTAACCATTTCTAGCGAACGGGCGGAAAATGCAGCATTAGCTGCAATAACACACCCGAAATACAAAAAATTAAAATGGACATCTCTAGTTGAACAGTCGCAATTTTTAAGAATTAAAAACTTACTTATTAAAGAGATATCAAGAAATATACCAACAGAAAACTCAAAAGAGATACCATTGTCTAGATCAAAAGAAGATGAATACTTTGAATCTGATTCTAGCTCTGATTCTGAGCGAATTACTAATGAACCGATATCCAAAGCTGAACTAATTGTGTCTCACTATTTTGCTGAAGAAAGTAAAGATCTGAGTTTGCTGGATAATCATGTTATGATAAAAAAAATGTTTCTAAAATATAACTCTCCGTTACCGTCGTCGGCGTCTGTACAACAGATGTTCTCCAACAAAACGATCAACTGCATTAATATAAACGACCACTCTGAAATGTTCCAGAGAAGGCTTGTTCTCAAGATGAATTTAATTGACTAACTTTTGACTGACTGTAATTAAGGGAATTATATACCATTGTAATGCTTGACGTGTTGACTAGTCAGCCGGTGACCACGGTCAGGGCAATCTAGTCGAAACGTCAGGTAATTTACAAGGTATGCAATGCCTGTTACGCGATCGCTTTACTTTCTGCCAATTCGTTATGTTGTTTCCTATATTTCATGATTAAGCTGAACGTTCAATAAACCTTAAATCATTTTCATTTTATTTTATTTCGTATTCGGTTGATTAATTATTTGAATCTTGGGGTTTAATCTAAAAGATTTAATGGAAAGAGTAAGCCAAGATAAGCTGTCAAATTAAGATGCAAAGTCGTTTCAACACTGGTTTGACGTATATTAATCAATATGGTTTTATTCGTTCAGATATTTCTGCACATGAAAGAGCGACCCTTATAGTAGTAGCATATGATGTACAACGTAAATCTATAAGCAAAACTAACCATAGAAGGGCACACGTTCATTAAATTAAATGGCGCGCTCTTCCACACATAACTCCGTCCCTTTTCACTTAATATATAATAAAGGAAAGCGAGATGAAACCTGTTACACACATCATCATCATCAACAGCCTTTAATAGTCCACTGCTGGAAAAAAGGAAAGGAGGTTTTGCCCCACTATACCTCGCTGGCCAGACAGGTTGGTATAGGGTTTGTTTCAAGTTTTCTTCTCTGAAGCGCTATTGTTCTGCGTAGTTTGCTCCTTTTGTCCTCTTACTACACCCACGGTTTGTGTATCGGTGGTGACACTCCGTATTCTTAATCCGTTACCACACGGACTGAAATACACATAATGAAATTTATCTTTTTTATCCATGTGAACACATTCCTTAGATAATAGTTACTACGCAACACTAGCAAGCGAGCTATGCCTGGAGTTTCTTGGAAGGAAAAAATCGTAATCTCCGTTAAAAGATCTAAACTTGCACATAGCTGTTGTTATATGGCTCGTAGAATAAGCATGCTGAAGTGGCATTGAGTTGACCAGGGGCTATAGTTTGAGTTTAATTTACATCAATTTGTTCGTCAAAGCGACCGCTTAAATTGGTAAAATCACACTAGGCCCTCAGATCTGACCAATGGCCATTGGAGCAAACGTGTCTCAGAGTAGGGACCCCGGATTTGTAAATGAAAGGTAGGACCCCCGACTGCCATATTGACGATTGACGACCTGAGGCAAGTTACTGGGATATATAGGATGCTGAAGGGGGAGGTCCAGGGGTTATAGCGTAGCTTTGGGAGAGGCTTAGGTATGTCCAGCAGTGAACTGCAATAGATTGATTAATTGATATACCGATATATATATATATATATATATATATATATATATATGTGTTTGTTTTTTTTTTATGATTTTAATAAAAAACAAGTCAAGTCCCCCGCGACACAGGATATATTCCTAATGCGGGAGGCATTAGGAATATATCCTGTGTCGCGGGGGACTTTACAAACATTCATGAAACGGACACAAATAAAACCCAGACTCAGAACAATAATTTGTAGACTTGCAACGAATAGTATATTCGGCAGTATACCGAATACCGAATATTCGACGAGGCCCCTGACCGAATAGCCGAATATTAGGCAAAAGTATTCGGCTGGATTTTAGCGCCAAAAACTTGTACAGACGTGAATTAAATTATGTACCTGTTTTATGTACCAATGACTACTTAATAAATGATTATAAAAGAAATGAAAATATGAATATATACGTAATCAATCGATTTAAATTTTTCATTTTACCAATTATTTCTCAATGACAAAATATATTATTTAAGTATTCGGTATTCGGCCGAATAATATGTAGATATTCGGTATTCGGCCGAATATACTAAAAGCAGCCGAATAGGCCGAATACCGAATAGTAACCGAATATTCGTTGCAAGTCTAATAATTTGTGGATCAGACAAAGTGTCGTCCCATGTGGGGTTTGAACCCACAAAACTCGGCGCAGTAGGAAGCGGCGTGGCGACCGCTTAAACCACTACGCCATCCGTGCAGTCAAATATATTTAAATGTGTTAATCCTGGTATATATACTATAAATATAATAATATATCATTGCCTATATACGTCTATTCGAAGGACAAATAGTGCTGACTAAGAATTCCATCATTTATCCCCATAAATGCACCTACCTCATTCTTTCTCTGTATCGCCCAATCGGTCTACTGACAAAGAATGCCTTACGCATTAAGTCTGCCGATTTAAATATTTGTGCATGAAGTCACAAATAAATAAATAAACATTGAAAATTAAACTAATAATACGTATTGTTAGATAGTAACCAAATTATACCTTCTGTAGAATGTTGAAGGACTCTAATAAGCTGTGTGGCCTAATAGAGTTACACACCCGACTAATTTATTTATTGGACAGCCAAGTACTTGTTTTGTATTTTCTAAAATCGAAAGCATGCATCCATTATATTGAGATTAATGCACAACATTTTAACATAATAGAGTAACACTATATAAAAAACATCGGTGCGAGTTTAACACTAAATTGAACCAAAATAAAAGAACCAAACAAACTACAATTAACAAGCTTATTACTATTAATTTTAACTATCTAGGAGACCTCTTAACGAGTCCTTTTAACAAACAATTTGAAAGTTGCTATGATGTAGGTAAGGCTTAGCAAATGATTCAAGTTATGGCCCTATTGCAGCTCGGTGTGTAAGAAGAAGAACACAGAAGAAGAAGCACTGAAAAAGTTCAATGTTTGAATTGATAATAAAGTCTTAACTGGTATCAGTGACACAGTCAATTTCCACAATATTAATATTGTTACTATTTTAATGCCAATAATGTACCCAACCCTATGTGTCCGTTTCATGTATGTTTGCAAAGTCCTCCGCGACACAGGATATATTCCTAATGTGGAAGTTGTCTTTTAAAAAATACAATACAAATACTTTACCCAGTGTGATGTAGTAGACCTAAGATAGACCTATTTCTTAGCGTTTCATCACACGATAGATGGGGGCCACACATGCGACTTCGACAGTGCCTGCGATCGAGGAGTAGGTTTAGGGAGACCTCCTTGCGGCGTCAGCGTTCACCTACACTGTCTGCGGTATTACCCCCTCTGCCGCTTTGGACATTCGTTCAAAAATAGAGCTTAATGAAGCTCTTGGCAATTCAAGATCTTTAAGTAGGTTATTGTCCGTAGGGTGACGGATTAAGAATACGGAGTGTCACCACCCCTATTCATCCCGTGGGTGTCGTAAGAGCCGACTAAGGGAGGCGACTACGCAGGACAACAGCACTACAATGAGAAAGAAAACTTGAAACAACCCCTATACTAACCCGTCTGGCCAGAGTGGTACAGTACGCCAAAACCTCTTTTCTAAGGAAAGGCCTATGTCCAGCAATTGATAAGTAAAGGCTATTGATGATGATGATTGATGAAGTAGGTTATAGAGGGATTTAGCTGATATACCTATAGCACCCATTTCCACGGCGTACAGAGCAATGAAATAATAATTTTTAGTTATTTCGTTTATCAAATTAGAGTTCTTTTTAAAGCATGGTCTTTAAGGATGCTCGTTTCCCATGGTACCGTAAGTTCTACTAGTACTACACGCCTAATTGACACTGCATAAAGAAATATGTCTGGTCTGGATGCTAAGGCACAGATATCTTTCGGTATTCTTTAATGATTTTCGCACGTGTCCACTAATAATCTCCAGTCTCTGGCGGTATTCATAATTGAGTACAGCTTTTGTGAAGTCTCGTTTGTTGAGCCTTCCTTTACAAACTCGATTCTTATGTTTGTTGTTATTCCTTTTTTCGCTCTCCCCAGAGATGAATTTATAGCTTCGCGTATGATTTGTAATACCTTATCATGGCGATAGGAATATTGACCCAGGTCTCAAAGCGCCTTACAACCTGTTAGGAAGTGCATGGCTTTACCTATTACCGCACTGCACATTTTTGCTTTGATCGGGGAGAGTTAATTAAAAGGCGTTGAGATAAAATTTTAATAAGGCTGATGACCAATCGTATTTAAGTGTGTAACTTCAAAGCTGTGGGATACAAAATTCATTTAATTAGAGTAAAACATTTATTCTGCATTTCTAGGTTCATTGCGTACACCTTGTAGGTCTCGTTTTTATCTTGTTATAGGAAAGATTTGGTTATCTCTTTGTCTGTATGTCTTCTAGCATTTTCTAATCCAACTCTACTGGACTGCGTACCGACCACAAATTTCTTGTGACTCCAGCTCTGATGATTTTGTCTTTTGGAAGGGATCTAACGATTTCGTCTTGTGATGTTGAAAAAACATGCATTTTGGTAACTCTTAGGTGTTTGTATAGATCCGAAGGTCTTTTTAATTAAATTTCAAAGTTATTCGAATTCCTGTAGAATGTTGACGGGTCTGTATATGGTGCTAGCCCGAGCCACGACTTCAACGACTTAGTAACTTTCGCGTAAAGTGTTCTTAAGTAGTTCTGGTTTATGTCGTATACCAGAAATGGCCAGTTAAGACGTGATGTTAAGTAGTTGTCGTAAATCCAAGCTTTTTTTTACGTTACTTAATGGCTGTTGGTCTACTTAGTTAATGTCTTCCACGAACTCATCGACTATTGTCTTCATAGATGGGGTACTACTACTTTGTAGTCTATTTTTCTTCCAAGGAATTTAAAGGGCACGGTTTCTGAAACTGTTGAAACATTCCCCACCAATAGTACTCATATGAGGTATGAGGGTACCTCGACCAAGGCAATAGCATTTGCTATTGGAAGAACCCTACTTTTCAAGGGGTTTTGTATGTCCATATTTTGCTGTGTGTTTGTATAGAGGACTTTAGGACAGTCCTACAAGTAGATAAGCTGTTGACATAATTTTGGAATAGCTTTTTTACAGCTGAGCAAAAAAAAAAGATTTTTATGAAAAAAAAAAACGGAATCGTCGCTTGCATCTTTCACGCGAGTTTTACTCCATCACTAACCAATCAATTGACACCCTGTAAAAAGTAGCATAAGTATATATTACGTAGTTAACACCTCATTGCTGAATAGCACACACCTTATGTTCATAGAAACTTTCGCCAGTACTGAAGAAAACACACCGGCGTTGTTTTATCCAAAAGTGCTGGCAAAAAAACTGTTGTATTGCGTACAGCAGTGCTGAAAACACAACTGTTGTAACGGCAATTCGTGAAAACATACGTTTCACTGTATAAATGTTTTTTATTTTGGTTTATTTTTTCCGATATGTGTTATACGAATAAATATGACACTAATAAATAAAAAATAACTAACAAAAAACCCTCGAAGGCAAGTCTACATGTAATAAAAACTTTCAAAATATTTTTCTGCCAATCCGTCTGGCAGAAATCGTCCTTTAAGGGAGTGAAAAGGGGCGTGGAAGTTTGTATGGGAAATCAATACCTGCTTAACCGATTAAGATGAAATGGTAATGAGATAGTTTGCTTCTTGAGGAAGAATATAGGCTGGAGCCGCAGGCAAAAGCTAGCTTCCTATTAATTTACTGAAGATTTAGCTTCCCCAATAGACTTCTTTCTGTAAAAACTTATTGGCTTGTCGCAGTCCAATAGAAAAAACAAATAAAACGTATTTTAGAGTAACGCGCCTTTGTTTAGTATTATTTGACGTCAAATGTTTTACAGCAGGACAGGTGTTTTCATTTACCTTGTGGTTTATATAGAAAAAGAGATGTCATTTTTACTATTTTCTTATCTTTCCATAAGATCCATAATGCCGTGAGTGACCTTCACAGCCGCGGAATATCCTGACATGATGTTAATTTAACGGGAACTCTATCAAAATGCATCTTTAGCTTTACGGACAAACCGAAGTATGGAATCAATAGTTTATGTCCTACAGACTGGCGAATTTTTGTAATGGCAGTACAAAGATTAGGAGACAACCAAAGTACCTACTTTTTCAAGGGGTACACGTACTGCCGGGTCCGAAGCTAGTCGAGAATTCCCGAAATAAACCAGTGAATAAAATCGTATTTTTAATAAATTGATTTTAAAAAGCAACCTAATACCATAAATTAATAAGTTAAGGTTATGGTTCAGCAAAACTCTTACTTTATTTTATTGATTCCATTATTTTCTTCTTTCAGAAGAAGAAAAAAAAGAGGAGGTCCTAAATAAGAATATCAAGAAGACAGAAAAGAAGTATAAACCTGAAGACGGATTGAGACACAATTCTGTTTATAAACGCAATTATTTAAGTAAGTATGTTTTATATAAAGGTAGTGTGGACAACATGAGAATTTCGATATCGCCTAGTATACTGCCCTCAGACCTCCACAACCTCAGTGGGTTGTGGAGGTCTGAGGGCAGTCACTCCGTGTAAAAAATCTAAGTTCAGCCGTATCGTTGTAGACTTAAAGCCGACCCAAACCTAGTTTGGGAAAACGGCTCGTAGGATATACTTGTAAAGGTGGCAAATAAGTATTTAGAAATACAAGCGAGGAAACCCGGTGTTAAGCAATTCTTTCGTTGCCTTCCACTGAGTGAGTAAGGTTACCGGAGCCCAAATCCCCCCTCCCGCTCAACTCAGCGGGAGGGGGGATTTGGGCTCCGGACTCCAACGCACTTGAGATTTTTGAGTTGCAGGTGTCTATGAGCGGCAGTAGTTGCTTACCATCAGGTCACCCGTCTGCTCGTTTGCCCCCTTATACCATGAAAAGAAAAAAAACAACCAGCTAGGGTTTGCAGACCTCGCCTTATTTTATACATAAATCTCTTGTTTATCTTATGTATTTCTTGTTATGTATACTTTTACTTTAATTGGAGCCGCCTGTTTTCTAATATCAGTTATACCGTAGCGTTGAAAGAGACCAGCACTACTTTAAAATTGGTTTTAGCTGGTGGTAAGAAGAAGCTTTCCGAGTCTTCCGAAAATATTCACGCATTTGTTGTTTATTTTTTTATGGCCTAGGGGCTAAACGACCAGACTGGTCTCCTGATGGTCAGTGACTACCGCCGCTCATGGATACCAGCAACTCAAGAGGGTTACGTTGTCATTGACTCCTCCCACAATCAGGGTTGGAGGGGGGAGGGGTTGAGCTCTGGCAGCCTCACTCAGAAACTGGTAAAACACTGGTTTTTTGTGAGGCCGTAGTATCAAAGGTCGAGTCTGGCACATATATGCCGACGTGTGGCTCTCCCACGCTAAGATGGGTTGGAAATGGAAAGCATAAAAGAGTTGTTTCATTCTTTGAGTCCTTACAAAACCCGTGTCGTGTTGGACAATTAAAAACGAATCATAATATGAACTAGGTTTGGCCACTTCCTAGCTCATCAGATCAGCTCCAAGATGTCACATTATACTACTGTCATCCAAAGTACATATACATACGTTATATTTAGATCCAACAATTACAGCCTTTAATGTTCCACTGCTGGACCTAGGCCTCTCCATAGAAAGTAGGTTTTGGCCTACTATACCACGCTGGCAAAACGAGTTGGTATGGAGTTTGTGTCAAGTTTTTCTTCTCTTTGCAGTGCTGAAGTAATTTGCTCCTCCCGACATCCATGGGGTGAATAGCGGGTGGTGACACTCCGTATTCTTAATCCGTCACCACACGGCCCAGCGTGTTTATGTATAGCACAGGCTCTAACTAGTTTGGGATCAGACGGCCGTGTGTGAGATGTGTGAAGTTATTATTATTATTGTTTCTTTTTTACAGAAACCCGCCTCAAAATGTTCGAAATGTACATAAAAAAAGACACAAATAAAAATGAAGTCATATACTCGTGCAAGAATTGCGAGGGGACATACAAGACAAAAAGAGATATATTAAAACACATCAGGGAGCAACACTACACCCGTTGCAAATGCGAACAGTGTGGCAAACCTTTTAAATACGAGAGACAATTAGAGTCACATGTCAAATCTGTTCACGGCAAAACTTATGTGTGTCAACATTGTAACAGAAAATATGACAACAAATACAGATTGACAGCTCACGAGAAAACGCACACAAACCAAGAGATGTATCAATGTGACATATGTCAAAAAGTACTTAGATATAAAACTACTATAAGAAAACATATTTTACATCACAATGGTGCAAATAAAATGCTCTGTGATTTTTGTGGCAAATCCTTCGCACAAAAATCTAACCTTGAATCTCATATCAAGTCGGTACATTTAAAAATGAGACCTTTTTCCTGCCCAATATGTAATAAAACTTATACAGCAAAAAAACATGTAAAAAATCATATGAAAATCGCACACTCTGGTAACCCCAAGCCGCATCAGTGTGACCTGTGCACAAAATCGTTCGCTTGCCCTAAAAGTTTTAAAATCCATAGATTGACACACGAAAATCATTTCTCTTGTAGATATTGTTCCTTAGTGTTTAATAATAAGAATGATATAGAAATTCATACAAAATCACATACAAAAGAACATTTATTGACTAGCCCGTTTTCGTGTCATGTTTGTGGGAAGATTCTTTTATCAAAATTTACATTAAATCGTCATTTAGAGATCCATAGCGGCATAAAACGGTTTGCATGCAATGTCTGTGGGTTGAAATTCACACAAAAATCTCTTGTTAAGCGTCACTATTTAAGGAAGCACGATCCTAGCGTCAAAATAGAGAAGGTCAAGTGTGATCTGTGTAAGAAGTTAGTGAGAGACCTTGAGAAACATATGGAGATTCACGATGCGGACAAGAGGAAGTGTTTTTGTGATATGTGTGGGAAAAATTATCCCACAAACAATGCTTTGAATCGTCACAAGAAGCATAAACATTATGGTGTGTCGTACGACTGTGACGTCTGTGGTAAACAGTATATAAAAAAAGGTAGTTTAAAAACGCATAAATTAAAAGTTCACAAAATTAAAAAAGAAATCTTTGAGAGTGTTGCCAGTGTTCAAAATATAGAATTGACTAATGTAGTGACGTGATTTTTTTAGTCGACTGAAATGTCTTACGTATGTTTTATACCAATAAGGTGGGTAATAAGTGTAACTAGTCTGATGGTAACCTGTCAAATTATGTTCAGATACGGGATCATATTTTTATAAATATGAAAGCAAATTATGTTTTGTTGTAAATGTAATATTTTTGTTTTTAAACAAACTTTATTCACATTTAAGTTACATTATTTACAATGTCTCTATTCGCCAAACTGTCATTTAATTTGTTTGTCTGTGCGTCTATGCGCAGTCAATGATGAAAGATTAAGTTTATGTTCGATGTTGTTGAATTTTTATGTCAATTCAGGTCAAGTCAAATCAACATAAAAGGCAATAAAAAATATTTTAATGCTTCACGATACGGTATAAAATAATCATCAGCCTATCGCCGTCCACTGGTGCACGAAGGCCTCCCCCAAAGAGCGGCGTCTATCCTGGTCTTGGACAGTCCGCATCCATCCGCTGCTAGCCACTTTCTTTAAGTCGTTTGTCCATCGTGCCGCAGGACGCCCTACACTACGTTTGCCTAATAGCAGTCTCCACTCTAGCACATGTCGGCTCCAGCGACCATCAGTACGCCTCGAGACATGACCTAATTACACACTTAAATTGCAAACTTACACAAAACTTTTATTCAGGTAATTTAAAAAGAACATAATTAATGTTTTTACAATCAACAGGTCTTGGATAAATGTAAAACCAATACGCTTTCGCCGGAATCTTTATATTCTTTCTCTTTTATACAGTGTTATGTTTCATTCCCACACACCCTCTTATCTCAAAGAACGTTTTCAGTTCTTACACAACACATTGCAGGGACCTAAAGGCAAATTTTCGTAATAATAGTTCGGTCTCAATTCAGTTCCGATCAACTTTCGATCTCACAACTGTCATAAAAGATATTTTCGTAGTAAAATAGTTAAGTATTACTAAGACTAACAGATTACCGATTCAATTTTCGGTTACACATCACATCACACATCAACAGCCTTTAACAGTCCACTGCTGAACATAAGCCTCTCCTTAGAAAGGAGGTTTTGGCCTACTATACCACGCTGGCCAGGCGGGTTGGTATAGGGTTTGTATCAAGTTTTCCTTCTCTCTGCAGTGCTGTAGTTCTGCGTAGTTTTTTTTTCGGTTACAATACGATATAATCACATTACAGTCTACGTTGGATGTTTAATACTTTACTACGATTTTTTTTAAATATCTAATATCCGTATTAAGGTAGTCTGTAAGAGATCGCCGTGAGCGATAACACCGCCTTTTGTTACGTCTACCTATTTGTAACTAATCCTTATTTATGTGTTAACTGTATACAATAAAGATATAAATAAATAAATAAAACAACACTATGTACAATTTAACATAATTAATATCATTATACATTAAGTATTAAGGAGGGGTAGATAGAGAGTGGGAGGGGGAGATGGAGTGTGGCGGAGTGTGCAGAGAAAGGGATAGAAATGTGATGTGCTGAGAATTGAAATACCATAAATATAATGATATTTTAAAACCAAACTATTTTTTGTTCTTGGTGTTACATATTTCCACTAGCTTTCTTGCAATCTATGCGCGTTGTTGTGTGTGTGAGTTGTCCGTCAGATGGTGGCTAAGATGTCAGATGCTTTACACCATATGCGACAACTGTAACGCTCGCTTGTGTTTTTTTAAATGTTTAAGACTTGACGTGACAACGTCTTATAATTCGATGGGGCCGGCTGCACGCACGAAAAAACATGACTCATGCGGCGTTACCTCGCTCTGAGGCGTTCCATTTAAGGCGTGAAGTGCAAGCGAGAGTGCGGAACGAGTGACAAAGAGGCACAATCGGCCTCCGCGTTCGGCAGCGTTCGACATCTGTCTCTCTCCTACTTGAGTGAGCGATGCGTCCGCGTGGACAGCTGCTACTCGTATACAATAATACATTTTAGAAAAATGCAACCATTCCATCAGTATTTTCTTATGACGTTGTCACGTTCAACTATCGTCAGTAAACCGACTTTACAGACAACCGATTTTTTGGTTCGTCTTAGGATCCTTTTGTATGGACACCATTCCGTCGAATATAAATGTGTGTATGTATATATGTATTAAAAATGGTCTTTTTGTCTGTTATCAGTGATCGGTTCAACAGTTATCCTATTTTATTTGTTATTTTACTTTTATACTTTTTCTAGTTTCCTATGAAGATTTTGGTATGAAAAGGTTATTTTTATATGGCAACATTGCTGTTTAGTTAACAGTAGGTGAACAGTCAAATGTGTTGTTAATTTTTGTTGATAAATAAATATATAATATATTAATGTTAAGCAAATAAACTTAAAATTAATATAAGTATTTCTTATGTTTTTTTTTATCATCCTTCCGTCAGTGGGTGGCATTTAACCCACTTCAAAAAGTATTAGGCTCCAAAGGAATGGGGTACAGGTAGCAATTTAAGACTACGGTATTTAAGACTCCAGAGACAGAAATCTCCTTAGGCCGACTTCACATTGGGGCGTGCGCGCTCCTCGAGCCGCGTTCCACCAACGCGCGTTTTGTGCACAGCGCGAACGCCTCGCGTCGCCTTCCAAGAGCTACTGGCCGTCACCCGCAAGTCACTCAGTATAGTGTTGTGTACACACGCCTAAAAATGGAATCTTAATTAGAGAGAGAAAAGAATATCGAATATAGGTCGTTCTCTTACAGAACGCGACGCGAGCCTGGCGCGTGCGACTCAGGCTGCACACACGCCGAACGTTGGCAAAACGTTACGCTCACATCGCGTTGGTCGCGGCTCGCATCGCTCACAATCTCGAGTAACGCGCACGCCCAATGTGGGGTCAGCCTAAAATACGCGCCGTATGGAGAAGTATTGTTAGGTTACTCCATCCACGTTAGTTAAGCCATACCGGCTATACCTATAGCTCATACCAATGCTCATAGGTTGTTTATACATCTATACAAATAAATAAAATTGGAGCGTCTGTTTGTAATATTAAAATCACCGCTTTTTACTAAATGCATATGTATGTTTACACGGTACATATGCCAAAATAACATTTTTTACAATTTTTGTCTGTCTGTCTGTCTGTTTGTTCCGGGTAATCTCTGGAATGGCTGGACCGATTTCGACGGGACTTTCACTGGCAGATAGCTGATGACATAAGGAGTAACTTAGGCTACTTTTTTAGACTAGCTTCGCCCCGCGGCGTTGCCCGCGGTTATAACAACAAACGCGGGTAACACCGCGGGTCTCAGCTAGTTATAACTAAAAAGAATTGACGCGTCTGCCCTAGTTACCTGTCTGATCACAAGAAAACATCGCCCGGTTTGAGTTACTATAATTACTTTTCCTATCCGAGAGTGGTAACTCCTATTTTAGTTCCTTCACCCTATTACGTATGGGATGATATATATTAGACTGTACTAATGGCCCACTACGCCATTTAAGCGGTAGCCCCGCCGCTTCCTGCTACGCTGAGTGTTGTGAGTCCGAACCCCACTTGGGACGACACTTTGTGTGATCCACAAATTGTTGTTCTGAGTCTGGGTGTTCTTTGTGTCCGTTTCATGTATGATTGTAAAGTCCACCGTGACACAGGAACAAAAGATGACGGAGCTGAATAAGACCCCGACCCCCAAAATCTCTTTTTATGGTACTGAGGGAGGGCAAACGAGAAGACGGCTCACCTGATAGTAAGTGACTGCTGACTGCACAAGCCCTGCAACTCAAGAGCTATAACTTGTGTTACCACCGTTTGAGGCCTACCCCGAAGAATCTGTGGGAGGAGGGGTTTGAGATTCAGTAGCTTCACTCACTCGATGAAAAGAAGCCGCCGATTACTGAACGCCGGTTTTCTGTGAGACCATATCACTCCTGTCAAGGCTCTCATTATCGAGGCTCTCCCACGTTACCTTTACCTTTGTCTCGTATAAAACAGTTTATGTTCCCAAAAACCGCCTGCCTAATGGCGGTCGGCCTTAAAAACAACCGGTCATAACTCTAGCCATACAAAATGGTACACATTTCACCGACTCCAAATATATTAGGGATTAAAACAATGATGAGTAAATTACATACATTTGGCCCTATGCCGTGGCGTCACTATGTTAATCAGTAAAATCACCATCTGTTATTGACCCGCGCAATAACTTATTTTAGTGTATTATCTATGCGCGCAATGATACCAGCTGCTTTCTATTTAGTTCTTGTTATTTATAACAGATGGCGATAGCAGTAGCTTAGGTTGTGTCAGTAATTGTGGTTTTGAAAGCGTCACAAAGATCATTTAAATAGGTAAGTTAAAAGATGTTTGTGTGAAAATTGAAATACATAGTAAATTATATTATTATTTGCCTCCGTCCTCTAGAATCCGGGGTCACTTTATACTAGTTGCACGTGGTTTTATAGAAAACTGTCTTATAAAATATATTTGTTACAAAAAAACATCGTAGTATTTATCTAAGTTCTTAAATAAAACAAAAGAAATAATATACACTCATTTCTTTTGTTTTAAGGTTTTATGTAAGGTTTTAGTTTTATTTAAGGTATATCTAAGGTATACTTTATGAAAACATTAAAAAGAAAAAAAATACATAGAATGAGTGAAAGTGTGTTCTCTCTCTTTCCGCCGCTTCCTTTGAGGGCATCAACTGCTCGCAGAAGGAAGCGACCACGCTCCATGCACTCTCGCTCTGGACCATGGACAAAATCATGGTCGAAAGCGAGAAGCTATCCGTAGAACTGACTGCCGCGATAAGATCACGACGCTGGCTCGCCCAAGCTGGGTATTTCGCCAGCGTGTGAAGTGCCGTGACGTCAGGGCAGTCATCACAATGATGGCACCGTGACGTCAGCTCCCGGCCGATCCGACACAGGTACTTCTCGAAGCAGCCGTGTCTGGAAAGCACCTGCGTCATCCGGAGGGTGACAGCACCGTGTTTCCTCTCATGAAATGACCTACTTTATATACTTTAATTTCCTGACGTTTGATATTTTATTTATCCAACAAATAATATAAAACAATATCCGAATCCGTGTAGTGGTGGATTAAGAATACGGAATGTCACTACCCCAATTCATCCCGTAGGTGTCGTAAGAGCCGACTAAGGGCGCAAAACAACGTAGCACTGCAAAAAGAAGGCAAACTTGACACAAATCCTATACCAACCCGTCTGGCCAGCGTGGTATAGTAGGCCAAAACCGCCTTTCCAAGGAGAGGCCTATGTCCAGTAGTGGACTATTAAAGGCTGTTGATGTGATGATGTGATGTGACAAATAATATATTATGCCTCTTTAAGTATACCTAATACTTAAAAATGCAACAAATTTTTTTTTACATCTCCATAGTGTGTTAATGTTTTTATAAACTTTATTTTTATGGTATTTATGGCTACAATGTAGTAACAATAAACATTTATGTTTTATTATTTTGTAACAGTCATTAATTTTATCGCTTACCATATTTATACTCATCACTAATTAATAATATTATTCACTTTAAACACTAATTTAATCTAATAGTAATATTCCTAAAAACCCAAGTTATTCATAATCATAATTTTAAGTCGACTCATGAATCGATTGTTTTCCGAATGTTGCAACACTGTCTCGGCCCGCCATTTTTTTGAATTGTGAACTCGCCATTTTTTTTCGAATTGTGAACCCGTCGGGTACAGCTGTGCAGCGAGAGTGTTTTGAAAAGTCAAATAAAATACTATTTCAAAGTTTGTGTTTACATCAAGAACCCCATCCTTCTGAGCGTTTCAGCTCAGAAGTGGGATAACAGCAAAAATATATTGTCTTTGCTACGCCCACAGGTCAACACATAAGATAATGGAATGCGGTAGCCCTGATGATAAACGGTGTCGAAGTCGTAGACTTCGAACACCCGTACCACCTGGAAGCCTCATACTACCAACAATGGAAGTCGAACGTGATGCAGGGAACAGCGGTGGTATGCGACGAAGTCGGAGCCGCGTGAGACACGAACGTCGGAGCCAGGATCAAAGCCGAAGCCGGAGCCGTCACCGCATCCGGAGCATCCAACGCAGCCACCACAGTAACCGTGAGCTATTATATCAGAACCTGAATTTACTTGAGAATAGACCGAGTCGTAGACGGGAAATATGTGGTGGATATCAACAACGCAGTCGCAGTCGCAGTAGACCTAGGAGTAGCCGCCATAGCCGTAGTCATAGTCGTAAAAGGAACGACGAGAATGATGAGTTGCGCGAGAGGCTACGTCTGTTAGAGCTAATGAGACAACGTAGCCGCAACGTGATTTCACACGATGTCACTGATAACCATCGACGGCGTGACTCCCCGTCTAGAAAGAATCGCAGCCCTCTCGGAAACGACATTTGTAACCAAGAATCCCAACGGCCAAGGGTCATGGAACCAGCTAATTTCTTTGAAGAATTTGTCAACATTTTTAAGGGTAGGATTCGTGAATCGTTTCCTGTACTACATAATGTTCTTTCGAATTTTGACCCGCTTTCTCGGGAACAGACTATTGACATGTGGAAAAGTAAAGTAGACGAATGCGCGGAAATTTATAATTGTAATGACCGGCAAACGGTTCACTATGCCCTGCCCAAACTAGTAGGATATGCTAAGACCTGGTACCAGGGCTTGCCATCTATTAGGCATTCGTGGGAAGAGTGGAAGACTTTATTAAGAGAATCCTTTCCGTCTACCGAGAACTATGCTGAATTGCTTACCGAAATGCTTAATAGAAAAGCGCGCCCTGGTGACTCCTTAGAATTGTACTATTTTTCTAAGATTAACTTATTAAATCGTTGTAAAATATTTGGTAAGCAGGCAGTAGACTGCTTAATATTTGGTATTGAAGACAAAGCAATTCGGTTAAGCGCTCAAGCAGGAAAATTTGATAGACCCGAGGGAACTTTAGAGTTCCTTAAGACAGTTAAGTCCCACCCTAGGGAGTACAATGATGGTATTAGGAGAGAGGGGCCAAGTAGAGATAGGCGGTTTCAAAGCTCTACCTCAATTTTGACCAGCACTGTACCACCTAAAAGCGTTGATAAAACTTTTAGAAATCGACCGAAAGTGAATGCAGTTTGCTTCAATTGTAACGAAACTGGCCATATGAGTTACCAGTGTCGTAAACCGATAACCAAATGCTCTGAATGTAATTTTCTAAGTCACGACTCACATGCTTGTCCTAAAAAGAATCCCAATAACTCTAATAACAGGAAAGTCTCCATTAACAACGTTAACAATAGTAACGCACACGGTACGCCGAAAAGTGTTCTTGAAGTATCCATAGATGACGATAGCAATGACAAGTATAGAGTAGGTCTAAAAAAAAAGGGTAGTAAGAGCTATTGTTTCGGGTTCAGGAAAGTCGAAGAAGCTAGAATCCAAATGCCAAGGGCCGTATCGAATCAAAAAGATCTTGCCCAATGACAGGTTCCTTATAGTAGACACACCGCTTACACGGAAGGGAAAAGAATACGAGAATGTGGTAGCGATTGATAAAATCTATCCCTGGATGAGCTTTGATGCACCGACATATTCTTCTAGTGAAGAAAGTATCTAGTTATTATAATAGATGATTACTTTTAAGATTTATTGATTGTTAATGAATAATACAGACTTTGTCACATTATACCCAAAAATGGTTAGCTTAATTTATACTTAACAATATTTCCTTAAACACATATCGTTTAAAATCAATAATATCTTGTTACAAAGGATGTGTTATTTCTTTAATGCATAAAACTACGACTAATATTCTTGTTGTTATGTTATGCGGGTACTAATGATCTACTTGTATGACTTTATTTTATAGGTAATTATAAATAGGCATTTAATCAAATCGATTATCTTAATAGGAGAATTTAATTAATTTCAGTGAACCATTTGGTGGCGACTGG